GGCTAACGTTTTTTGAATAATGTTTACCACTAAGTGCAAACGTTGCAGCATAGTAATGAAAAGGTCAAGGCTGACAAGGTTGTTATGACTCTAAGAATTTGACGCATCGCTTGTGAGAGCATTGTGTTGAATTAGACTTTTTAGCCTAATTCGCGCTTAGGTTACTTCAGGAGCTGTCATAGATTGATAGCTTATTCTCTCCTTCTTGTGGATAGTAGAATTAATTGCAAGTAACTATGAAGCGAGAAACAAAGATGGTAAGAGGAGTATCGCCATCTTTCAATTAGATGCAGTAAAGTGTATGGAGAATAAAATTAACTTGAAAGTGTAGGGGATTAGCACTTACTAGTTAAATTTGCGACTTAAGCGTACTTGATATCTCCATGACATCCTTTTATAATCTAGTGAATATGAATTAGTCATTACCTAATTGGGCCTAAACCTTTAAAACTTGTCTTTGAGAACTCACACATTAAGATGATTGAAATTATTTTATGACATTGGTCATGAACCGGTGGCTTATTATACTTAATCACATTAATGAGATGATGACATGATGGCTTGAGTAGGCCTTCTCAGGCCCACTCCCTTATGACATCCTGCTTTCATGTGAATGTGTAACTTTGTTCGCAATGGGTGCGCACAAGTAGGAAAGCCGTAGAAGGTTATTTGTTTTGGCGCATTTAGTCCACTATGATATTTGTGACTAGATATGTGTAAGGATATGATAGCTAAGCCTCAATCTCGACACATTTATAGATTACGATACGCATCTGAGTCAAGACTATTTGATCTCCCATAAGTCAAAAGTTTTGAGATGATTTTTGACATTGCACATATGAGGTTGAGATCAATTAGATAATAGCTTTCGTACTTTTAGTTTTGACCAAGGTGGCGAGTATCTATTTGAGTTATTTTAGAAAAAACTATATGACGAGAAATGGATGCTTAGAAAATTGATTATTCCTAATACTCAATGACACAATGGTGTAGTAGAGATAAGGAATTTAGTATTGTTAATGTTAGGTGGATAATGGCGCAAAAAATGTTTCCTAAATTGGAAATTACATTTTAGTTTGTTGTCTATATCCCTAACGAAGTGCCCTTCATATCAGATTTTACATTCCATTTAAGTAATGGGTTAGCAGAGAGCCATTTGTGGGCAAACTGTAACCATCAAAGCAGCTTATCCTTATTTTACTTCTCATAAGGCTACGAATTTAAGACCTAGGGTTTTATAGCGCATTATTGTATGTTGTCTTGTATACACATAGGGTTATGTGGCACATTATTGTATGCTGTCATGTAAACCCTCCAGGTTATGTGCATATAGGTAAGCAGCTTTGTGGGAGTGTAACTAAGTCACATAAAGTTTTATTAGTAAAGGTGACATGAATAGAGTTTTTGGAACTCGATAAGATAGAGAATTCTAAGCATAGTGCTCTATGTAGCCTAGTTGAGAATGGAAAGAAATTTCCAATATCCTAGGGACAGTGGGAGCGATGTGCCTATTAATAGATTACCCCATTAGAGAGAGAATACTCTACATTCTTAGTTGCGTGGTAGCGAATGTGAAATTTTTCCACGTCATCACTGGGTGATTGAGAGGGAAACATTCATGATTGCTCCGCAAGATGATAAAGAGCCTAGGATAATGCCAAAGGCTCTAGTCTCCTGTTTTTAGAAAGTGGATTAATGTTGCGCAGTTTAAGACAAAATCTTTGAGGATTAACCATTTCTATAATTTGGTTGACTTTCCATTATGACGCGAAACTGTTCTAAAGTTATGCGTAATTTGGATAGTCATTGTTGAGGCATAAGGCTCGCTAGATACCAAAAAGTCGCACCATTGAGGAAAGTGTAGACCATGAAAAGACTTCCTCTTGGGGAGTGAGGTTATTTTGACTTAGGCTATGATTGACATAAGTTCGGAACATTGATTTGTGGACATTGTGACCCAACTTTCTCGTTAGAGAATTTGATAAGTAGATCAGTAGGGATTTACCTTCTGCTTTTATGGTGAAAAGTTCAGAGCGCAAAAAGCTTGCTAGTTCCAATGAATCTTTTACAGCCTAAAACAGTTATCCAAATAGTGGTTCTTAGATTTCGTCAAGCCATGATAGGCCAACGATGATCGATGAAGACCACTGAGGCATGATCAATGGTCCAAAAGAAGTTTTTCCTTACTTAGTCATTATGAGCCAGGAATTTATAAGGTTGTCGCCACCTAGGGTGGGCAGTCCTCTATTTTAGATATGATGGACATGGGTGATGTAATTTATATGCTTGGATGTACGATCCTTAGGGATTGTTTTAGGAGAATTCTCGGTTTGTCTTCGATGACTTACATAAGGAATATCCTAGAATGATTCTAGATGCAAAATTGCAAACCCATTGACTTACCTATCGGTAAAAGCTAGAGCTTTAGCTATTAAGTGTATCCTCGGATTGTCTTTGGGAGAAATAGATGACCTATATTCCTTGATCTTTTCTTTGTTGTGGGACCTAAAGTACGTTTTGTGGGCGTATTCGGCATGATAAGTGTTATCTTTGGTAAATGGTCAACTGAGTTGTTTAGACATTGACCTTGCTCATTAGACTGTAGATAGAATGCTTTACTAGTAGTATATTAATTTGCTCCTTGTAAGATTCAATGCGCTAGTTGGGCGCATCAAGAATGAACGCAAATTGGTTACCAAAATATCTTTAGAGAGGTTATTGCGCAAGAGGTAGTGATCTTAAATCACTTCATGTGAGGCGCACATGGTGGATTCCGTTGTATATACTTATCGCAAGAGGTGCCGATAAGGCTTATGTTTGGAATCTAGAATTGCGTAAGCTGTGGTCAATTTTTTTTTTAAATCGATCACTTATTTTGAGATGATGGGATGTTGACACTATTATGGTTTGTGTCATAATGATTAGCAGATGATGATGTCAACAGGCAAGATTGGCTCACTCACACGACCAATCGCCCTTGGCGCTTGGGAGCGAGCAAGGATGAGACTAATGGTTTATTTTTATTTGGAGCCAAGAGAGGCTTAAATAATCCACTATATATGTCGCCTTGGTTACAACCAAGATGAGGTCGTGTTAAGGATCAAACATGGATATTAGTACCCACTTTCCATGTTGTGCCTGTTATGATTAGCCAGATGCGAGATCTCATTTAGCACCTAGAAGGCGAGCAAATAGAGAATTCGGGTTAGGCGCTAGAAAGCGACTAGACTAATATCTGTAGGGTCTATCGAGTATGACGTCACTCTTTTGGAAGAGTTACTCCATCGTAGGATGTATTCATACTATATGTGCTTGGCGACCGAGTAATGAGGTGAGAGAATGGATCCCTGTTTCCTCACCGTGTGAGTCTTACGTGTCATTATTGATATGACTTTCATTTATGTACCCTTTTGTGACTTTTGACTATGTCAGAAGGTAAGGGGTTGATGTTCTGCTACTTTGGTATGTTGCCTGCGGTCACGTATGATTCGGCCTTAAAGGACATCACTGGGAAAGCGGTCAATCCTAAACTAAATAGCATGAGGGCAAAGGGAAGATCATCAAGTATTACACCACTGTTGTATATTCACTGCCGGCAACTTACATCGCTCTGTATGAGAGGCGGATTGAGTGTGAATATATTGCAAGAATTGAGAGGGTCAAACATGCTCTTTTTGAGGAGTTAGAGATGTTTTTTGGACCGGTGTAATTAGATGGGCTTGGGGTATATGAGACACTATTTCAGTTCTTTTTGGATTGATGTCTCTATGCTGGCTCATTTTGAGTTTCTAGTATAGAGCTCCCACATGCAGGTGTTCTCAGCAGTCGCACGGTGCAGTGGCTAGTATGAGATTGTTCATTTTTTGGGGAGATTGAGATAGAGATGTGGCAGCGTCATATCAACTCATGTCCGAGTGGGAGATGTTAGAAATTGGGCGCCCATGTGGCATGACCCTTTGAACCTTATCCATGTAAGTTTGAATTTGAATTCAAAACTTACTTGGATAACCACTCGGGATATCCATATCTATCATATCAACTAATATGGATAGATGAGATATTATCCTATATATCTAATATGATATGGGAGATGGGTGATTAAGAGAAAAACAACGTATGTCGTATGTTTTTCCCATATACTGGCTCTCTCTCTCAAAATACAACGATCAAGAGCCATTTTGCACTGTGACTTGTGTGGGTGATATTCATTCTGTAATATCACTCAATTGCTGGGTTGATTAATCAGATTTAGGAAGCACGTGATTTACCCACAAGATCCTTCAATTCAAACTCTACAGAAAAAAGTATGACCATAATTTTTCATTCGCTGCGTTTACCTTAGATTTACACCAAATTCATAAAAAAAAAGTCTATCTTCAGTTCCAAATCAAAATATTTTCAATTGATTCAAGCAAAAAATAAAAATATTTTCAACTGATTCAAGCAAAATCTATTTTCTTGGTTCGTGTTTACTCTCGTTGGTGATCAGCGATTTGAGAGAGAGATCGTTTCTTCTCATCAGTAAGCGAGGGAGATCGTCGGCGGTGAGTAAGAGAGAGATCATCGGGGGTGCTGAGTGAGAGATCGTCATCGGCTGGCGGTGCTGTGCGAGAGATTGTTAGCGGTCGATGGTTTGAAAGAGAAAGAGAAAACAGAATTATAAGGTGTTTCAGAAATAGAGGAGAGAGAGATGAGTGTGGTTTCACGCAAGTCTAGGCAACTGGGCGAAAACATTCAGGCTATTCGAAGGTTTCCAATTCAAGCTAAGTAGTGGGATTGAGATATAAATATGAGAGAAGGTTAAGTTAAAAAGGAAAAATAAAAAATAAGGGATAAATTTAGTTTAAAAAGGACAAAAACAAAAAATCCAAAACAAATCTCATGGTGCTATTAGCCACACTAAAAGAAATAAAAAAGCGGGTGGACAACCAAAGCCCAAAACGAACGGTTACTATGGGGCGCAAAAACAAATCGGTGGGACTACTGAACCACAGAACCCTGTCCTTCTCTTGCACAGTATGTCGCCACGTGTTCCCCCATTCACCGAGCCTTCCTTCCTGTCGTCCACCTTCAACCAAGTCTCCCAAATAACCATTACCAGTCCACTTCGATTCTCTCTCTCTCTCTCTCTCCTCACATCACAAACAAAACCCACTCACACTCTCTGTCTAACGTACTCTCCCATTCACCCAGCAATTCTGCTTCTCTCTCTCTCTCTCTCTCTATATATATATATATATATATAATACTTCGATTCATATATATATATATTATACTTCGGTTCCGCCATGGACGTAGCTTGTCAGCTCGTCTGCTGTGGAGTCGATCCTATTCGTCGCACTTCTCTCTCTTCCTCTTTCATCAACACGACAACGACCAGTCATCACCGTTCATTCCCGTCTACAATCAGGATTCGGAGGCGAAACGGCGTCGTGCGAGCCGTGGCCACAGAGCCCAAACCGACCGATACAGGACCTTCGCGATCTCCGCCAAAAGTGGTTAATGGATCTCCGAGATCGTCTCCGCCCAAGGCAGTCAATGGTGCTTCCACGGTCAGTTACTCAGCTGAGTTCAATTCACTTACTATATTCTCTAGTGTACTTAGCCATATCTAGCCCTTAATTAAATTTCTTTTACTCAAATTGAGTACTACATGTTTGAGTAAAACGCTTCATTTTGATATGAACTATTCCAATGAATGAACACAAATTTGAGTAAAATTGGCAACTGTCAAGTTTAGTCAATTCGGATAGAAATTCAAGTAAAGGAATGGTGACTTTTTACTCAAATTTAAGTTTGGAAAATGTTTGATATCCACAAAAACTCTCACAATTTGACCCACAATGATGTGGTATAATAGGTATCAGTCAACGTTTGATTTGCTATGCACCAGTGTTGTAAGCCTTAACTCCCTTTTGCCTCTGTCATTGTGGGTCTAAAAGTGTGGGTCTTTAGCATTTTGCAGTTAAGTTTTGAGTAAGGGTTATTGATGCCCTTGATGTATTTGGTGAATTAACTACCGCTTTGTTTGGCTGGGGATTTGGGGAGGGATTTAGAAATGAAAAGAGAAAATGTGTGTTTTATTCATATTTCACCTATCTTTTCTCTTTCCGAATCCCTTCTCAAATTCTCAAACCAGACACAGCGGAAATGACACCTTTGGTTGCTGGAAAAGCAGAGGACTAAAAAGTGAAAGAAAGTTGAATGTTCAATATCAGTTTTTTGGTTTCTCAAAGAAAAAGACCATCAAACTAAATTGGACCAATTTACTAACAAAACTGGACCAAATGGTTTTCACTAGAATGTTCAATCTCAGTTTTTTGGTTTCTCAAAGAAAAAGACCATCAAACTAAATTGGACCAATTTACTAACAAAACTGGACCAAATGGTTTTCACTAGAAATCCAAGAGCTTCGATTATTTATTTTTATTTTTTTTGTTTTGATGATATGTCTCTTGGCAATCAAACAAAGTGGCATTTGAAAATTTGTGTGTTTGTGTGAACTTGGAATTATCATTTTGGCAAGATTTGGTTAAGCCTTTTTATGTACTGATGGTTTGAAATTGTGAATGGCAGAGAATGGAAAATGTTTCGAAGGAGATCAAAAGAGTGAGAGCACAGATGGAAGAAAATGAACAGTTGGCGATACTTATGAAGGGGCTTAGGGGTCAGAATTTGAGGGATTCCCAGTTTGCTGATGACAATATTCAGCTTCGCCTTGTTGAGGTTTGTTTGTTGTTTTTGATGCACATTCATACCGGCTGGTGTGAAATTTTACTTACTTTAAAGGGCTGTTTTACATTTGTTAAGTGTTGAGTTTTAAATCTATGGCCATAATGGCATGGTGTGATGATTGGTTAGTCTAATTACTCGATAATCATAGAGTGGTCAATCATGATTGAATTTGATAATATACGTTTTGGTTCCCATAGAGCTCTACAATGGTTAAACCTAATTGCTTGGAAATTGCAGTTTAATAGTCTGAACTTTGTGAAATAATGTACTATAAAGTATAAAGGGAACCCTGTAATAGATAACTTCAAAATACAGTCAGCAAAACTGTGTACATTAAAGATCTAGGAATTTGAGGAGATAGATGTCCAAGCAGTAGGTAAGTTTTGAATTGTGGTTTAGCATTGATTTGAAACTTGTTAGGGATGACAACTATTAATTTTGTAAATTTTTAGTATGCTATAAGATTCTTGCTGATAGGTTTGAAAGTAACTGAAGATATTTATCAGTGCAGATCAACTCGTTTCGACTTTGAAGCCCAATCGTGGGAAATGTTTCGGATATAGTGTGAACCATGTATGGCTTTGCATTCCTAACTGAGGAATTATTAAATCTATGCATGTAAAACCTAGTTGAATGTGGTTCACATAATATGAGCATGTCTTGGTCTTAGCTTTTTTTTTTTTTGATAAATAAAACTTTATTGAGAAACTAAAGCATCAAGGAGATGCTAAAGAACTACAAGGCAGCAGCCCTAAGAAAAGAGCACCACAAACAAAACAACAAAACCAAAACCAAAACAACTATCTCAACCAATCACATCATCTAATAAATCTAAAAAGGTAAACAAATTTGGATCCACCTGCTTAGACACCCAACCACACGAAACATTGAGAAACCTCCTCTCTAACCAAGACACCAAACGAGCAACCTTGCGGAAAATATGCCGATTCCGCTCTAATCAAATCAGCCACATTAAACACAAAGGAGCCATATCCCAAGCCTTCCAATGCCTCACCCCCACTTGACCCCCTGTCTAACTCCACAGGACTGCCAACACGCCCTTCAGTTGCACCCATTGCACCCCCAAAAGTGGAGAAAATAATAACCCACAAATGAGAAGCCATCGAACTCTGAACAAGCAAATGGTCCACCGACTCTGTATCACCATAGCATGTTTTGGTCTTAGTTGGACACAAGTTAATCTTCCTTTTGTATATTCAAGATTCTGGAATATAATTTCACCTTAAATTGTCTTGGGGGATGGACAACTATGATAGGCAAATATGAAGAATGGGCAAATGATGAAGTATTAAAACTCATTTATCCTTAGAATGCTTGAAGCCAATGGCTACATTATTTCATAAGAAGTTAAGTGAAGACAATTTTGTATGAAATGATTCAATTTCATGATCCTCAAGGTTTTAAATATGTGGTTGTAGTCTGTAGGTATCTTTGCATGTCGTTGACCAGTTGTAAGACCACTAAGGAGTGGACCCTACACAGACAACCTCAAGGCATAAGCTTGGCCTCGCTAGCCACTAAGCTAAGCACTTCACATTGGCTTGTTAGCTTGCCTTGCCACCACCCCTTCTTGGCGGCATGCTTCTTGCCTCACTTCACCTCACCTTGTTAAGTCTACATTTCCCAAATGGCACCATGATTTTGTTTAACCAGCCTAGGCAGAGAGCATAGCTTAGTTGGTGCCTTAGTTATGGAATTTGTGAACAACCCATGACCTTGTATGAGATCACCAGGGACTTGTTGATTGGCAACTAGAGTTGAGGGATTGTTGAGGTCTCGTCTCATCTCTTCGGGGTGACCCTACTTTGCCAGTCTTAGACATGAAAGAGAGGTCTTTGCACATAGATTAAGACTGCCTAGGCCATTTTTATACTTTAGAAGTCTATCACAACCACCCATTGTGAAACCTCATAAGGTGTATCACATCTACTCAACACAACTCTATCAAGTGAACTGGTTTCCATGGCCCAACACTCCTATAAAAGGATGTCCTTCCCTCCATATGCAACAAGCCAGCATGCCCGTACACACAGAGCTCCTCCATGCATCATAGGGCTTCCTCCCTCACTATCTTTCTTTCTTTCTATTATAAAGCTGACCTAGCTCTGTCCCCCTCCACCTCTAGTGGTTTTGTACTACTGTGATTCCTAGAAGGACCCATGGTAGGAAGGAAGGAAGTGGGATGTGAGAGAAAGTCTTACTATCCAACTATTTGTGGTGCCCCTAAGATCCTTTGCGCAGAGGAGTCTTCATCTTGCCTACATCATCAACGACTGTGACTGTCAACATTATGCTCCACGTGTTGGTCATTGGCACTCGCCGGACACTTCATGAATGTATTGGAAACACGTTCAAACATGTCTTATTATTTTTTTAAAAAAATTTAAAATTGGACACTTGGAAGATCACATCCAAACATGTCTTATTATTATTTTTTTAAAATTTAAATCCAAGCATGCATTGGACACTTAGAAGATATACATGTCCATCGCTTAAACACATATAAAACATATTATAAATTTAAAGAAAATAACTTAGATCCAATGCTGAAAGAAATACAGTGCAAATTTATACCAATTAAATCCGAATCCTGCAACTAAGCTCTATTTCCTCAAGCTAAGGTGTCTCTGCCATCTGGTCCATTTTATCTATGCATTCCTCCTCCCACAAGGATCCTAATGATCTACAATTACTTATAAATAGAATTATAAACCCTTTTTTGAATTTTCTCAGAACGTTTTTGGACACTAAGGTGGGTAAGTTGGACTTATCAAAAAAAGAAAAGAAAAGAAAGATGGTTAAGTTGGCCAGTTATTAACATTCCTTGGAGTCCTGGGTTAAACTTATAGGCACGTGCAAGATGCCATTCTAAGCTTGTGTTGGGTGCTACTAGGTAAGCTTGCCAACAATGTCATTCTCACAAGAAACATGCACTTCACAAGGCAACATGACTAAGTAACGATGCACAACCGATATACAATATAACCTTTTCTTTTGGTTTCTAGGACTGCAAATGAATCGAGCTGTTTACAAACAGACTCGGCTCGGCTCGTCAAGGGCTTAGTTCGTTTAATAAATGAGTCGAGTTCGAGCTCAAATATTAGGCTCGTTTAGTAAACAATCCGAATTCGAGCTCACACAAGTTCGACTCGTTTATTTATATTTAAATTATATAATAAATATATTATTTATATATTAAATAATATAAATAATATATAAATAATTATATAAATACATTATTTATATTTTTTATTTAAATAATACAAAATAATATTAAAAAAAAAATTATCGAGCCGAGCCGAGCCGAATTCGAGTTTTATTAATATTAACGAGTCGGACCGAACTCGAATTCAATTTCATATTAAACCAAACTCAAACTCAATAAACAAACTCAATAAATAAGCGATGACAACTCGATCTCAACAAAACTCGAGTCGGCTTAGTCTGTTTGCCACCCTAATTAGCCACACTAAAAAAATAAAAAAGCGGGTGGACAACCAAAGCCCAAAACGAACGGTTACTATGGGGCGCAAAAACAAATCGGTGGGACTACTGAACCACAGAACCCTGTCCTTCTCTTGCACAGTATGTCGCCACGTGTTCCCCCATTCACCGAGCCTTCCTTCCTGTCGTCCACCTTCAACCAAGTCTCCCAAATAACCATTACCAGTCCACTTCGATTCTCGCTCTCTCTCTTCTCACAACACAAACAAAACCCACTCACACTTTCTCTAAGCTACTCTCCCATTCTCCCAGCAATTCTGCTTCTCTGTCTCTCTCTCTAAAACTCTATCTCTCTCTCTCTCTCTATATATATATATATTATACTTCGGTTCCGCCATGGACGTAGCTTGTCAGCTCGTCTGCTGTGGAGTCGATCCTATTCGTCGCACTTCTCTCTCTTCCTCTTTCATCAACACGACAACGACCAGTCATCACCGTTCATTCCCGTCTACAATCAGGATTCGGAGGCGAAACGGCGTCGTGCGAGCCGTGGCCACAGAGCCCAAACCGACCGATACAGGACCTTCGCGATCTCCGCCAAAAGTGGTTAATGGATCTCCGAGATCGTCTCCGCCCAAGGCAGTCAATGGTGCTTCCACGGTCAGTTACTCAGCTGAGTTCAATTCACTTACTATATTCTCTAGTGTACTTAGCCATATCTAGCCCTTAATTAAATTTCTTTTACTCAAATTGAGTACTACAAGTTTGAGTAAAAAGCTTCATCAACACAAATTTGGGTAAAATTGGCAACTGTCAAGTTTAGTCAATTCGGATAGAAATTCAAGTAAAGGAATGGTGACTTTTTACTCAAATTTAAGTTTGGAAAATGTTTGATATCCACAAAAACTCTCGCAATTTGACCCACAATGATGTGGTCTAATAGGTGTCAGTCAACGTTTGATTTGTTATGCACCAGTGTTGTAAGCCTGAACTCCTTTTTGCCTCTGTCATTGTGGGTCTAAAAGTGTGGGTCTTCAGCATTTTGCAGTTAAGTTTTGAGTAAGGGTTATTGATGCCCTTGATGTATTTGGTGAATTAACTACCGCTTTGTTTGGCTGGGGATTTGGGGAGGGATTTAGAAATGAAAAGAGAAAATGTGTGTTTTATTCATATTTCACCTATCTTTTCTCTTTCCGAATCCCTTCTCAAATTCTCAAACCAGACACAGCGGAAATGACACCTTTGGTTGCTGGAAAAGCAGAGGACTAAAAAGTGAAAGAAAGTTGAATGTTCAATATCAGTTTTTTGGTTTCTCAAAGAAAAAGACCATCAAACTAAATTGGACCAATTTACTAACAAAACTGGACCAAATGGTTTTCACTAGAAATCCAAGAGCTTCGATTATTTATTTTTATTTTTTTTGTTTTGATGATATGTCTCTTGGCAATCAAACAAAGTGGCATTTGAAAATTTGTGTGTTTGTGTGAACTTGGAATTATCATTTTGGCAAGATTTGGTTAAGCCTTTTTATGTACTGATGGTTTGAAATTGTGAATGGCAGAGAATGGAAAATGTTTCGAAGGAGATCAAAAGAGTGAGAGCACAGATGGAAGAAAATGAACAGTTGGCGATACTTATGAAGGGGCTTAGGGGTCAGAATTTGAGGGATTCCCAGTTTGCTGATGACAATATTCAGCTTCGCCTTGTTGAGGTTTGTTTGTTGTTTTTGATGCTCATTCATACCGGCTGGTGTGAAATTTTACTTACTTTAAAGGGTTGTTTTACATTTGTTAAGTGTTGAGTTTTAAATCTATGGCCATAATGGCATGGTGTGATGATTGGTTAGTCTAATTACTCGATATTCATAAAAGCGGTCAATCATGATTGAATTTCATAATATAAGTTTTGGTTCCCATAGAGCTCCACAATGGTTAAACCTAATTGCTTGGAAATTGCAGTTTAATAGTCTGAACTTTGTGAAATAACGTACTATAAAGTACAAAGGGAACCCTGTAATAGATAACTTCAAAATACAGTCATCAAAACTGTATGTCCAAGCAGTAGGTAAGTTTTGAACTGTGGTTTAGCATTGATTTGAAACTTGGTAGGGATGACAACTATTAATTTTGTAAATTTTTAGTATGCTATAAGATTCTTGCCGATAGGTTTGAAAGTAACTGAAGATATTTATCAGTGCAGATCAACTTGTTTCGACTTTGAAGCGCAATCGTGGGAAATGTTTAGGATATAGTGTGAACCATGTATGGTTTTGCATTCCTAGCTGAGGAATAATTAAATCTATGCATGTAAAACCTAGTTGAATGTGGTTCACATAATATGAGCATTTCTTGGTCTTAGTTTTTTTTTTTTTTGATAAATAAAACTTTATTGAGAAACTAAAGCATCAAGGAGATGCTAAAGAACTACAAGGCAGCAGCCCTAAGAAAAGAGCACCACAAACAAAACAACAAAAACAAAACCAAAACAATTATCTCAGCCAATCACATCATCTAATAAATCTATAAAGGTAAACAAATTTGGATCCACCTGCTTAGACACCCAACCACGCCAAACATTGAGAAACCTCCTCTCTAACCAAGACACGAACGAGCAACCTAGCGGAAAATATGCCGATTTCGCTCTAATCAAATCAGTCACATTAAACACAAAAGAGCCATAGCCCAAGCCTTCCAACGCCTCATCCCCACCTGACCCCCGCCTACCTCCACAGGATCGCCAACATCCCCTTCGGTTGCACACATTGCACCCCAAAAGTAGAGAAAATAATAACCCACAAACGAGAAGCCGCCGAACACTGAACAAGCAGATGGTCCACCGACTTCGTATCGCCACAGCATGTCTTGGTATTAGTTGGACACAAGTTAATCTTACTTTTGTATATTCAAGATTCTGGAATATAATTTCACCTTAAATTGTCTTGGGTGATGGACAACTATGATAGGCAAATATGAAGCATGGGCAATGATGAAGTATTAAAGCTCATTTATCCTTAGAATGCTTGAAGCCAACGCCTACATTATTTCATAAGAAGTTAAGGGAAGACAATTTTGTATGAAATGATTCAATTTCATGATCCTTAAGGTTTTAAATACGTGGTTGTAGTCTGTAGGTATCTTTGCATATCTTTGAGCAGTTGTAAGACCACTAAGGAGTGGACCCTACACCCTCAAGGCATAAGCTTGGCCTCGCTAGCCACTAACCTAAGCACTGCACATTAGCTTGTTAGCTTGCCTTGCCACCACCTCTTCTTGGCGCCATGCTTCTTGCCTCACTTCACCTCACCTTGTTAAGTCTACATTTCCCAAATGGCACCATGATTTTGTTTAACCGGCCTAGGCAGAGAGCACAGCTTAGTTGGTGCCTTAGTTATGGAATTTGTGAGCAACCCATGACCTTGTATGAGATCACCAGGGACTTGTTGATTGGCAACTAGAGTTGAGGGATTGTTGAGGTCTATTGGCTCATCTCTTCGGGGTGACCCTACTTTGCCAGGCTTAGACATGAAAGAGAGGTCTTTGCACATAGATTAAGATTGCCTAGGTCATTTTTATACTATAGAAGTTTATCACAACCACCCATTGTGAAACCTCATAAGGTATATCACATCTACTCAGCACAACTCTATCAAGTGAACTGGTCTCCATGGCCCATCTCTCCTATAAAAGGATATCCTTCCCTCCATATGCAACAAGCCAGCTCGCCTGTACACACAGAGCTCCTCCATGCATCATAGGGCTTCCTCCCTCACTATCTTTCTTTCTTTCTATTATAAAGCTGACCTAGCTCTCTCCCTCTCCACCTCTAGTGGTTTTGCACTGTGTTAGTGCCTACTGTGATTCCTAGAAGGATCCATGGTAGGAAGGTAGGAAGTGGGATGTGAGAGAAAGTCTTACTATCCAACTATTTGTGGTGCCCCTAAGATCCTTTGCGCAGAGGAGTCTTCATCTTGCCTACATCATCAACGACTGTGACTGTCAACATTATGCTCCACGTGTTGGTCATTGGCACTCGCCGGACACTTCATGAATGTATTGGAAACACGTTCAAACATGTCTTATTATTTTTTTAAAAAAATTTAAAATTGGACACTTGGAAGATCACATCCAAACATGTCTTATTATTATTTTTTTAAAATTTAAATCCAAGCATGCATTGGACACTTAGAAGATATACATGTCCATCGCTTAAACACATATAAAACATATTATAAATTTAAAGAAAATAACTTAGATCCAATGCTGAAAGAAATACAGTGCAAATTTATACCAATTAAATCCTCATTCTTTATTATACTTTAGGAAATAGTGTTATGTTGTATTATTTCTTAATGAAATATTCATATATGTGGTATATGATAAATATACAAAACTATATATTTTGTATGTGTCCCCACTTGTGTTGCTTGTCTGTGTTTGGGCTTCTTAGGTAGTCATAAATATTTGAAGCTTTTTGGTTGAAATGCTGCATCCCATTTACAAGGAGTTTTTTTATTTTTATTTTTATTTTTTTTCTAGATGAGAATGGCTAGGAGGGGTGATCAATGTGTGGCAATTCTCCCTGGGTGTGACTATAGGAGTATCTATAATTGGAGAGCTAGATATGAGGAGCCTAGACAGGCCCACAAGTGTGCGGGTTTGCAGGGGATCTGCAGGCTAATAAGTCAGTGGCATAGTTGGTTTGGGAGAGAGGGAGGCCATTAGGTGTTGCATGAATAGAGATCCAAGGATTAAGAAAGATTGCCGAGGTCTTTCATGGAGATCTGTTGGCATATTTTTTCATTGAGCTTAGTGATATATGTATTATCCTTGCCACTAATCAGGATATCATCGAGATCAATGAGTATATTGGGAGCACTTTTAAATAAAAAGGGAGGAATTGTCTGGATTTAAAACCAAGAGGAAGTAGAAGTGAGGAGAATGTAGGGAACCATGCTCAGGGGCTTGCTTGAGCCTATACAATGCTTTATACAATTTACAGATTTATTGGCACAAGTGTAATAATTTCCAAGGAATTGTTTGAGGGTAATGTTTTCTTGCTGTTTTGTGCTGTTTCAGGTTGATGAAAGCAGCGAGTTTTTGCCTTTGGTGTATGATCCTGCTACCATCTCTGCATATTGGGGGAAGAGACCACGTGCTGTTGCAACCCGTATTGTACAGTTGCTATCTGTTGCTGGAGGTTTTCTTTCACGTCTTGCCTGGGATGTGATAAACAAGAAGGTTAAAGAGGTAAACCTCTAATGCTATGCTTGCTATCTTTGACCTATTGGATAGTGTCTAATTCTTTCATAGTTTTAGAAGTTTAGAAAATCAGCTTTTGGTAGGGTAAAAAGAATATGCAAGTTTCTATGATTTGATTGCTTCTTCTTCTTCTTCTTCTTCTTCTTGAAGATTTATAAAATACTGGAAGCATTTGCTATCATTCTGAAATACTCTCCTACTAAATGTTCCTTGCATCATCTCTCCTGTTGCTTGTAGCTCTACCTTTAATCCTGTAAAAGTCATTTTTTAGAAGCAAAATTCTTGATTCTTCTGTATAAGAAGAGAATTGTTGATACAAGTAGCAGAATTATAGCTACTGCTGTAGGTGGAAGATGTAAAATAGACAATTAGGGCATCGTGTGTAATTTTAGCATTACTGACGAGCGCTAATAATTCTACAACTTGTGCTATCGACTTGCCTAAATTGGTTAGTTCCATGACTCTAAAATTCTCTTCTTCTAAACACTTCTTCATGTTTGGCTTGTTTATTAAATGAATGAACACGAGTTGAGCCCCTTAGCTGATGACTGACCCTGGGCTACTCATGACAGCTGATTTTATTTGTAATCATGGAGAGAGAGCTGAATGTATTGAGGATGTTAAGTTGGCTGAAATCAAATGAATCCAATGTATGTGTGTTAAAAGATTAACTAGTCTTGCTTCAAAAGTAACTAAAATGTAAAAGTAAAAACCTAGGTCAGAAAGAGCCCAAATCACAAAGGGGGAAAAAGATATTCATGTACAACTAAAAAAGTATTATGCATAGATCTTATACAATTCAACCTAATACATATAAATGTTGAGTGTTTTATATTTTAGTTATTTTAGGTATGAATAACGAATCAAGCTGGTTCATTCTCAATCTCGGCTCATTTATTAAACAAGCTAAAAAATAAAGTTCAAGCTCGGTTTGTTTGAAAACATGAATAAGCTTGTCAACGAGCCAAATTTGAGCCACAGCTTTGCTCAATTGCAATCCTAGACAAATCTAAAATAATTAAAAAAAAATGCCAAGTGTGCCTCTATTAATGCTGAAATCAAACCAAATTTGTTCCTTTTTTGCTAACATCTCTTCACCAGTGAATGTACTTCGTAGTCTTTCTTATCCTTTGCTACCTGCAGGGAAATGACCAAAAAGCTGGGGATATGGGTGAACTCCATTGATTTGAACAGTTGAAAATTTGACAGTCACCATAGAACAGGCACATAGGGATTTAAATTTCTTATCTTTACATGTCGATCTTTTTAAGGCTTGGCTTGGTTTGGTTTGGTTTGGTTTACATGTCAATCTTCCTTCCCAGTTTTCACTTGTATACTGATTGTTACTTCATTTTTCCTATAATCAGAATGAAGTTGCGCGAGCGATTGAGTTAAGAGAGATTGTTACCTCTTTGGGTCCGGCATACATAAAACTTGGGCAAGCATTGAGCATTCGACCAGATATACTGTCACCTGCTGCAATGACTGAGCTGCAAAAGCTCTGTGACAAGGTTGGGGTGGACTGTCATTTAATGTATTTTAACTTACATTAGAACTATATATGATCCAACTGCAATTTTACTGATTTTCCTTTTAATCTTCTGTTATGTCTAGGAGATGCTTTTTCAAAGCATTTACCAATATGTAAATAATAGAGTTTGACTAATTGAATGCAGTTGGAAAATTTTCTAATGTGGCTGTGATCTACAAATACGATTATATTTATTCTTGTTTCAAGTAATAACTTTTGATTGTTACTTGCTAGGAAAAAAATAAAAATAAATATACTCTTGATTGTTATTGAGGAATGAGGATGATTTATGAGTGCTTTAAAATTGAAGAGGTAGAAAAACTGAAGGAAAAAGTTCTGAAATAAATAAGGTATACGGAGATGAGTAAGTTGTAAGATTTAGCAATGTGGATGCTTATTAAGTGCTACTTCATGAAGCCATTAAAATAACATGTGCGTACTTGTAAAATCGTCAAGAGTTGAGTCAAATACTAGTTTGAAAACTAGTTTGAAAATAGTGGTTAGTGAATTCATGATGCAACAAATTAAGTAACACAAGTTAACATAGTCCTTGATTTAGGAAAAGATCATTTTTTCTTTAGTTGACCATATAACTTTGGAGGGTGGAATATGCACATGCAATTGGATGGAAGTGTTTTTGTTTTTCCTTTTTATTTTTTTTTTACAGTTTTGTCTCAGTTTTATGAAAGATTTTGTGGCCAGCCTTAGAGAATCTCCAATGGTTTAGTGGCCACCCCAAAGTGGGGAGGTGTAGGGATCAGGTCCCAACTAGAATGTGGGTGTGTATCTTATCAGACAAAAAAAAAAAAAAAAAAAAAAAAAAAAAAAAAAAAAAAAAAAAAAAATTGTGGAGACAGGTATCCTTAGGTAGGTTTATATATTACAGTAATGTTAACAGCTTGTTGCATGTAAAAAACAATCTGCCTCATTTTATTGAAATGATTATAGGATTGGAGTTATAATTGTACATCTGCCTTATTTTTACGTTCATTCCTGACTTTTTGTTCTTTTCTTGATATTCATAGGTTCCATCATTTCCAGATGATGTTGCCATGGCTCTCATAGAGGAGGAGCTTGGTCAGCCGTGGTATAACATCTATTCCGAACTGACTTCCTCTCCTATTGCTGCTGGTAATCTCAACAATTGATATAATTACTTTATTGAAATTTATTTTAGAGCATGGGGTTGTCTAGTTGGGAATAATGAATTGTAATTTCTCATGTGTTTGTTCACCTAAAACGCCAAAGATTGAGTCTGCAAGAGACTTAAATTGTACACTTGAGCCTGCATTTGTCTCTAAGACTCACCAACGCAATGTCTGGCCTTGTTGCTTAGTTTCTAAAGTTCATCACTCTCACAATTTTTATTCTTCTTCTGAAAATCTTTGGCAGCATCTCTTGGCCAGGTGTATAAGGGTCGGCTAAAAGAGAATGGGGATTTGGTTGCTGTTAAAGTACAGAGGCCTTTTGTCCTTGAGACTGTAACAGTTGATTTGTTTGTCATAAGGAATCTGGGATTGGTTCTTCGGAAGTTTCCTCAGGTAGTGCTTTGTTAAATCACAAGTCTTGCAGTCTCTTTGCTCGTTCTCAATGGAGTTTCTTTATTTGTCTAAGCGATAAACAATAGTTTATGTAATGAATTTCCATCTATATCATTCTTATTATTCAGGTCTCCATTGATGTGGTTGGACTGGTAGATGAATGGGCTGCCCGTTTTTTTGAGGAGCTTGATTATGTTAATGAGGGTGAAAATGGAACCTACTTTGCTGAGATGATGAAGAAGGACCTTCCACAGGTAATTTGATCACCCTTGAAAGTTATTTTTTGCTCTCTTTCTAAGTTGTGTCAATAATTCATGCTGTTTGTGGAGTTCAAATTTGGATATTATCACTAGGATGGTATTATCCAGACTCTAAAAGGTCAGAAAGAAACATGTGAGCTTCAAGAGACTATGTCCAAACCCATCGTACTGGTTTTTTGTTGGCACCATTTTATATGGTCCCTAAAGTGTACTGCCTCAGTGGTTGTTGGTGTAAACCCAACTGATCGCCCGCATTTGGAAAACCAGGGGAAGAAAGAACACAAGATTTGATTTCCAAACAAGGATGATAGGTTGTGTGCTATTAGTATTACACCCCAAAACTATGGCATCACCACCATTACTATTATGGTGATTTCAACCTTTACTTGAAACCTTGTCGTCAGACTCAGAATAGTCTGCCCAGCAGGATGATGGGTTCTGCGGTAACAACCCATTTTAAAACCACTTCTGATGCTATCAGTACCTGTGGATAGTGATTTTGTTGTTTCTTCGCTCTTTGTGTCTTCTATGATTGAATGATAGAAATAGAGAAGGGTTAGGACTTGTCAATTAGAATTCTAAAGCGTAGGAAGAGGTTAAAACTGATTTAAATGTAGGGTTTAACTCATAATAGAAATAAAGAAGGGTTAGGACTTGTCAATTCGAATTCTAAAGCTCTCAAAACTTTGTTGAACTGATCTTTCCCTTATACAGAAAGAAATTCTGAACATATAAACTTGTAGGTATAACTCATAAGTTTTACACACTCTGTGGAAACTAATGAGAATTTAAGTAATGAAACCTATACAGATTGACTAAAAACCATATCTAATGACAATAACATTATTTGAGCCACATTATGCCCCATGGGCAACCTCTACTGCCCATGTTCTGCAAATCAAAGTTACCAAAATTCCATTGATCCTAGAATCAAACTAACTTGAGGAAAACAAGCAATTGGAGATAACCTAAGCCTTGATTCTAAGAGGAAAAATGGCGGCTCTTCCTAATTTCAAAGGAGAAAAAAAATTGTTGGCTCTTCCTTGATATTCAGCCAATTTATGGAATTGCCTTTTTTGGATAAACTGCATCATAGACAGTTTAAGGAGAGAAATGATATGACAAAAACAAAGCAGACCTTTTCTGGCACTAACTTTAATTCCCACACCGGGGAAATTTTCCTTTCATAAGTAGTTTATTTCTTCACAAAAATTGTATGCCTAACTGATGTCCATCTTAAATAACATGTAAGGATTGGAGATATTGCTCATATTTTAAAATAATGTGAGGCGTAAGTTTCTATTCTCAATTTCATTTACTGAAATGGGTGCAATTAATTTACCATTTAAATGTTGCTGTCTTAGTTTTCAATGTTACTTTTGAAAAATTTCTTTAAACTTCTCAATTAGTTTCTCTGTTTCAGGTGGTTGTACCAAAAACCTATAATAAATATACTTCAAGAAAGGTTCTGACTACACAGTGGGTAGAAGGAGAAAAGCTTTCACAAAGTAAAGAAAGTGATGTCGGGGAACTAGTCAATGTTGGAGTCATATGCTACTTAAAGCAGGTAATTTCTCTTGTAATATACTCATAAAAAATCCAACTCTCCTGTAAATCCAACTCTTCTGTAAAATTTTCTTTAATACAAAACTGAAATGATAAACAGTATGCCTTTGTTGTTGTTGTTGATAGGTTTTCACATGCGAAAGGTTTCTAATTAGGCATGTTTCCATGCATAAGTGACTATTTTGTTAGTAAAGGGATGCACCTAATGCATGTGTAGTATACAAGGACAAAGAGCTAAAGTTGAAGAATAATCTCTGGCAGTCTATTAATGAAAGCCTAGATAAAATTAGAGGAAGATTACATTATATACTGATAAAAGGAAAAGGCTGCTTGACTTGCACAGCTGGGGGTTCTTCATATATAAATAAACAATAAAAAACTTTTCTATTTCACTTCTTCCTTGCTCACGAAAATCAGATGGTTACATTGTTCTGCCGTCCATCTTTGCTTGTCAATTCTTTTTGCATGGATAGTACTTGTGGTTACTGCAAATTCCCATTCTCAAGGGTTCTAGAGTTATTTTTTATTTTTTTTTCCTTCTTGAAATGTGGACAAACTCCTCAGTCCTCAATATGTTACCTACCTTATCTTACACAGTATCACTTGTATTTGTAGTTGCTTGATACTGGTTTCTTCCATGCCGACCCACATCCTGGAAATATGATCCGGACTCCAGATGGGAAGCTTTGTATACTTGATTTTGGTAACAATTTTCTTTATCTTTATAAGAGCATATGATTAAACATGTCCTTTGGAACTGCAAATATTTGCAATGATATGACCAATGGTTTAATTAATGAAGAAGACAAGGACAGGTCAATTAGCACCAGGGAGTTTTGTGGTGAAGTGGCCATCATCTTTTCTCTTTCTTTTTTTTTTTTAAATTTTAATTTTAATTTGTTTTACACTGACCTCTCCTAAGGTTTGGGTGAAAAAACATTAAGCCTCACAATTTTGCATAATTACACTAACCTCCCTACGATAGCAACAAAGTTATTGAGCTAATGGATGATGTAAAATGAAATTTTTTCCTCTCTTGTATCATAATAAAAATTTATTTATTTTCTCTTCTGTCCATCAACAGAGGTGCACACACAGCAGAGGCATACACACCTCCTTCCCTTTCCTTCTACATTGGTCTCACCAGCCCCACACCCCACGCCTTCCTCTTTCGATACTACCCCACCACCATTGCAATTGGACCACCATGATTGAACTGCTGCTATTAAAGCACCGTGATTGCAGTCGTACCACAACAATAAATAATACCACTTCAAACCAGTGCAATCCAGATCGTCAAATAGGGTTGTTGAGCTTCGATTTGGATGGGGGTTCAAGCTGGATCTCTTCTCCTTTTCTTTAATTTTTTTGCTTCATTTTTTTATTGTTATTGATAAAGGGGGAGAATGAGGGGGTGGGTGGAAGCCATTGAGCAGAAGGGAGTGAGGTGGGTGGTGCTGGAGGGGAAGAAGGGAGTGGGGTAAATGGTAGTTATTGAGATTAGTTTTACTTGGTTTTCCTTTTCTTTTTTTTAACCTTAAATTTTATAATTTTGAATTTTTTTTCTACATGGGTCACAAATCTGTTAATTGGTTTTGGTTGATTGTTTGATTGGATTATCAGAAGTTGGATTTTTTTTCTCGTGGGTTTTGAGGATTTTATATTTCATTGTTTGATCAAAGTTTACTAATTTTGGAAGTTTTCTTAGACATATTTGGCATTGATAATGTGTTTTAGTTTGCTTTTTGATTGAGGGATATGGTGTTTGAGAGTTCATACCTTTTTCCTAGATATTTTTGAGAGTTAATATACATGGCTATGGTGTTTGAGGCTCATTGAGTTGACTCAGTCGGTGATTTTGTAATGGAAGGGTAAAATTGGTATTTCAGTTTTAAAAATTGATGACCTCATCAATTCAATCCACCAATAAACTGTGATTTAACGGAATAGTGATTATAAACCTTAAGGGAGTCCGGTGTAATTATGTTAAAACTATGGAGCTAGCTATATTTTTGTCAAATATCATGGAAGGATGATGTAATTTACCCTTCGTTTTTTTAAAAAGTTATTTTATGTTGGTTAAGAAATCGAATATTACATTATAAAAAATGACAATTGGACAATTGAATATTCTTCCCCGAAAGAAGAAAAAACAACTAGAGACTGAACCCCAAAGAAAGAATTTCTTCTGAACCAGACCTTGAAATATCACAGAGGATAATAAGAAATGCCTTTAAAAGGCTACATAGAAATTTTTGATCTGTTGGTACCTGCTTTGAATACTCAAATAATTTTATATTGTACAATGTGATACTCCAGGAATAGTCTTGATGATTATAATGTATGCTTTTGTTGTGACAGGCCTGGTTACAAAACTGACAGATGATCAGAAATATGGGATGATTGAAGCTATTGCTCACCTTATTCATCGGGACTATGCAGCTATAGTGAAAGATTTTGTCAAACTTGGTTTCATTCCAGACGGGGTTAATTTGGAACCCATCTTGCCTGTTCTGGCCAAGGTTTTTGATCAGGCACTTGAAGGTGGTGGAGCAAAAAATATCAACTTTCAGGAGCTGGCGTCAGATTTGGCGCAGATAACATTTGACTATCCATTTAGGATTCCACCTTATTTTGCTCTTATAATTAGAGCAATAGGGGTGCTGGAAGGCATAGCTTTGGTGGGGGATCCTGATTTTGCTATCGTAGATGAAGCGTATCCATATATTGCACAGGTGTGGAAATACTATAGCTGTGAGTCCAATCGATTTTATATCATAAATATAAGCACATGAGAATGTATGTGCTAGGTGATCCCAATATGTGATGCAATCAAATTGGTATTTCAAATCATACAATGTTGCTCTTAGATTGGATGACTAACTGACTAACTGTGTCTTTCGTAGATTACATTATTCATATTACTTGTAAGATTGTAAATAATCCTAAAATGTAATATAATCAAATTTGAACAAACATAAGGAATCCAAATTGAACAAAATTTGAAGTTATTATATGGGGTAGCTAATTTTTTCTGACTGCATCATCTAATCAACCTGGCTAATATTTGAGGGGGAAATTTTTCACAAAAAAGTTAGTTAAAAAAATTTCCAGCATCCTCAATGGTTATGATGTTCATTGTGTAATCATTTTTGAGGTTCATATATAAATCTCCAGTTCAGCTACCCTTAAACAAATACCTAATATGTTATTTTTAGTGCCAATCTGGGTTTGTAATTGGTAGCTGATATAGTTTGTTGGAGTGTTTTTGTTATGAAACTTGAACCATGGGATGCATTTGTTCATAAAAAATACTGTATGCACTTTGCCTTGTTCAATAACCAATTGTGCATTACTATTTTATTTCACTGACATTTTTTATGTAGTATACTGTTCCTATGTTTTTGCTGGATATTGGTCTAGATTGAAGTTTACTATACCGTTTCTTATTTCTTTTCATTTTATTTATATATTTTGATCGTAATGTCAGAGACTCCTGACTGATGAATCACCACGTCTAAGGAGTGCTTTACGCTACACAATATATGGAAAATCTGGAGTTTTTGATGCTGAAAGATTCATAGATGTTATGCAAGCCTTTGAGAATTTCATAACTGCAGCCAAAAGTGGAGGTGGTGAGGATCTGAACGGGGATATGGCTGAGCTTGGTATTCTGCAAATTCAAAGAAGCAATGTCCCCATATTTCCATTTAGTTCATCTCAATCAGAGCAGCCAATTCAAACAAGAGCAGCCTTAGCATTTCTATTGTCAGAGAAGGGGAACTTTTTTCGAGAATTTCTTTTGGATGAGGTATTTCTGAAAGTAACTTGTGTTTACATCTAACTTGTAGTAGCTTCATTTTCCATTGAGCATAGACTCTCTACATGTTTCACAGCACTATGTTCAATCTTACATATCACTAAGAATTGTTTTGATGTAAAAAATGAGAAAAGGAAGTTACTAAACATATCCAGTTTGTGGTTGAAGAACAAAAAACTTCCAATTTAATTGAATAATATGATTCATTTGCACAAGGTATCATTCAAAGCATGCCTTTTTATCTCCATTCAACTGATAGTTCAGTCATATGTTTCTTGGGCGAAAAGTTCAATATTAAAATTGCTATTTGAAGAAGATGTGCACATTTTCTTGACTGTTCAAGTTTGACAGCTGTTGCTTCTTACCATTCCTTTTCATACCTCAGCTAAGGGTTCAACACTAGGTCATTTTCTGATTTTCATTGTCTCTAGTTTTCTATAATTAGATTCAAGGTTCTTTTTCCCTTTAAAATATCATTTTCCCCCTACTATCAAATTAGAGGAAACCAGAATTACAAATTAGTGGTGATTGTTCAAGAGAGCTGTATTGTTTAAATTAGGTCATATACTGAACTGGAATGATTAGAGAGTGTTTGTAAGATCTAACGAGGAATTTTGAAAATCTAACTTCTTTTTTCCTTTCTTTTTGTTTTGACATGTAAAACAGATTGTGAAGGCTATTGATGCTGTTACGAGGGAACAGTTGGTAAGAATAATGGCGGTCCTTGGAATTGGAAATGCTGCCCCGGTTTTTAGCATGGTTCCTGCTTTGGGACCCATTAGGCCTGTGGGTCTTGTACCTACCGTAACTGAGGAGGACGAAGTCATACTGAACAATGTTCAGAAAATCATTGAATTCTTGACTGCAGGGAGTTCAGCATCAAGGTCATCAAATCAGGTATCAAAAATCTCTATTTGTTAATTCATCAAAAAAATTAAAAAAGAAGGGAAAAAAAATTGTATAATAACTTGCAGGTATATATATTTGGTGGGAATTTTTCCAAATAAAAAGTAGTTTGACATGTTCAGATATTTTTATAAAAGGCAGCGACACATTTAGATTTTTTTGTTCAGATTTCAATAAATGTTAGTATTTTTATATTTGAACTGGTTCTTATACAAAGAGATCTTCACATTTTTGGTATGTGCGAATTTCTTGCTATATTTTATGATATTTCTAGCATTTGCATAGTCTCACTATTCCTTGGGAATTTGGGATGACTAGAAATCACCTGTGTTCTTTTCTTTTACACTAGAAAAGCTGTTGATATACGTTTCTTGTCGACTATATGCGTATTGATATACAAAACAATGAAAAGATTTTAGTAGAATACAACTTCATACTCGGGGTCATAACGAAGAGTAATGGTACTCACAATTGCAATTTTACAAAATTTAACTGCAAACTACAGTGGATTACTCCTTCATGTCATGTGTGCATCTTGTGATTCGGTTATGTATCTCAATTCAGATGAACTGTAGGTGAAATGAGAGATATAGGACACATATCTTGTAGTGTAACTCTGTAGCATCACTTTTCACATGGCGGTTGTGGTTGCTAAATTGATGGACTTGTGTAAAACATTAATGCACAATCACGTTATGTGCTTTGATAGTGCAGATGTACTTTTTGGTTCTACTCTAAGCTATATTTTTAACTTCTGTGGCTATGGATTAAATCGATTTAAATTTGCTACAAATTGCACAAGTCCCAGTCAATTATAACTTGTTAAGCACAGTACACAACTTTTTCTCCACATTCCTTCTGTTTAGCTTATTTTATGTTTTACAATTGTAAATTTTCTTTTAAGCTAAACTGTAGAACTCTCTCTCTCTCTCTCTCTCTCTCTCTCTCTGACTTGTGTTGTTTTTTCTTTGTCTACAGACTGTTAATGTTACTCAGGTAGTTCAAGAACTTCTTCCGGTGTTGCCAGGCATCTCTGCAAAAGTGCTTCCCGAGGTGATCACTCGACTATCTTCCCGAGTAATGGCACGCATAATTCGTGACACATTTATACGATGAAGTCGCAGTAGTCTTGCTACTTCGAGGCCCGCAGAATTGTACATATAACCATTCACATTCAAAATGATTTTCCCAAATCCATATTTGTTTATACCCAGTTGATTGCTCCACAAACCCTAGTCTGATTTCAGTTCTCTTAGATGGTTACCGTATAGGCCGAGGCTGAAAAGGAATGGATGTATTATTTGAGAAAAGGAAAAAAAATAGAAAAGCTAACAAAGATTTTTGTTTAAAGCTTTTTGTTTTTCCATTGGCCATTTGCATATTGTTCTGTATTTCATGTGTAATGGGTGCACATGATGGTGTATAGGGGCAGGTACACTATGCATGTGCACTCATTACACAAAATACCTTCACTTTCAATACTGCTGGATATTAGATCATTTTGTACTGGTCTAATTTTCGTCAAAATTTTAATGGCGTTATCAATTGGACTAATTTAATATAAAATTTAAAACTAAATAATAAAATTGATAAATGAAAGCAGAGAGATTAAATTGATGCAAAGGATAAATTATATTCATGAAAATAATAATGTAATTTTCACGATTATTGGGGGAAAAAACATTGAATTAACAAAACGCGAGTCAAAATAACTATAATGAGTGAAGGGTGAAATATTGTTTCAAATCCTTAATAGTTACATGACCTTATTTATGTTAATTGATAAATGAGAGCACAAACTTTAGGAAGATAATTCAACCATTTTGATACTCTCTGTTAGGTTTGGATGTTGAATTTGTTGAAGGAAAGCCAAATGAAGAAAAGTACTTGCCTATATTATTTCATAACTAACTAAAAAACAATGGACTATACAAAAATAATGGTTATGTTAAATATACATATATATATATATATATATGCTTATATTTATTTATTTATTCATTTTCCTATGATTTCTCTTTCTTTCTTTTTCTTTTTTTCTACAAATTCAGCATCCAATCATTAAATAAGTGTTTTGGCCTAATACTTCATCAAGTGAATAAGTAAACAATAACCCAAGAATGCCAAAGAATAGTGAATCACCCTTGTTTTGTTTTTTTTTGGTTTTTTGGTTTTTGGTTTTTGGTTTTTGGTTTTTTTGTTTCTTTGTTTTTTTTTATTTTTTGTTTTTTGGTGGAACACAGCAGGACTCAATGAAAGTAGGGAATAGGACTGAGCAAGGAATCCGTAAAATCTGTAATCCGATTCAGTCCAGTCCAATTTGGTAGGTTTGGATTGGTTTTTTAAATCCGTGGTTCGGTTCCGGATTAAAGAATTAAAAATTCGTAATCCACGGATTGGTTTCGGATTGAACTCTACGGTTCCGGATTGAAACCGATCCGGACCGTATACAAATAGTCTATATTTTTATTATACATCCTCCTCCATAGTATATTCTCTTATTCCATATAAAATATGAACTCAAATCTGAACCCGCATAATATCTTCTTTTATTACTTTTGTTTGTTAGTTTTTAGCTTTAATTTGTAATGGTCTAAATATTTATGGTGAAACCAGTTTTCTTATAGTTGTTTAAATTCTAGAACAGTATGTCGCTATTATAGAAAGACATGTTACTATTGTGGAACAAATATAGCGCTATTTTTATGTTTTTACGAAATTAAAGTGTTATATATATATATATTTTTGTTATTTAATTATGTGAATCCATGGTTCTAAACCGATTTAATCCGTGTTTAAATAGATTGGTTCAGATTGGTTCCATGATTTAAACAGATTGGATTGGTTCCAATTTTTCAAAAATCGTAAATAACAGATTGGTCTTAGTTTTATCCCAATTAGGTTCAATCCGAACCATGCTCACCCCTAGTAGAGAGATTAAATTGATGCCAAAAAATGGTGAACCACGAGACCAAAAGACATAACATATTTGGTCACAACATGTAACCACATTGGAGAATACTCTTCTTCATCGCTTGCTTAACCATTCCAATTCTTGCCTCTCCAATTTGCTTTTCTTCACAATACTCTTCCAGTTGATCCAATTATTCTGCTAAAACAAGTACAAAACTAATCCTTTCTTATGTGAAACCATGATTTAGAATGATTTTTATACTTACAATTAGATTATGCTCAAAATTCTTTTTTTTATATGCGATCCCTGTCTCCAAAAATTTCTATCCTCTGTTTTAAATCTCTCCCCATCACACAATGTGGCATCTTGCAAATTAAAGTTATTTGATTTGCCCAACTCTTGTAGTGGAGAGGGGGCTTAGGACAAGGGCCAAAGATTTTGGGAGGAAGGATATAGTCAACCCCCCCTCATTACGATATTTTTTCTTATTTTTTAGTTATGACTCAAAAAATAAAATTATACTATTTTTATTTTTAATAGATAACTTGCCAAGATCAAGAAATATATCCTGATGCCCAGAAGGTGTCTTGTTTATTTATCCACCTATAAACTTCCACTTTCTGTAGTCCTTGGTTCATATTATTCCCTATTACTTTCAAATAGTTTTGTAGAGATTTGGAGAGAGAAACTTCCACTTTCCTAGTTTCTTTCAAACCCTGGCTAATATGTAAGGGAAATATTTATTAAGAGAGTGCACTCTTAGAATATATGAACAATCAAAAGTATTCCTTTATTTTCATGAAAAAAAAAAATGGAATTAATTACTTACTATTGAATTTAACTTAAATCTAAGGCAAAAATATGGAAAGATGAAGAACCTAACAGCAACTTATGTAAAAATTTTGTAATTCGTTGCACAAGGTATAGTTTTCACTTGTACATAGCACAATTTTTACATGTTTACAATTAGTTTCTCAAATTCTCATTTATTTGATATTTCTTTTTAAATTTACCAACTCGGGGCTCATAGAGCATTAGGCAGTTTTCGAATATGAAGAGTAAAATAAAAACACCGTCTTAAATAACCAGCAAACAAACAAGGCTTTATAATTATGTTGTTCTTTCTTTTCTTGAAGGACAGTGATGAAAAAGCAAATAATAGCCTGAGAAAGAAAAGAACAGATGCTTATCTCGTGCTATAACATAACAACATGTATACAATCTCATGAATAGTCGAAAAAAGATAAAGAGCACTCTTATTGTCCATTTTTTGTGATCACCTTTTTCACCACACCAATGAGTACCAAAGACAAAAGCAAAAGGAAACAACTCTTAGTGGGAGAGAGGCATGAGAGCATGAACATATCTGTTCACATCTTTTCCCAACCTAAAAAAAAAAACATCATATCCACCCCCCACCTCTCAACCAAAAATCCAAAACCACTTATCTTACTTGCAAAGCAAACTGTAAATGATTACATACATTCAACAAAATACATATACTATGTATGTCTCTCTCTCTTTTTCTCTCTCCCCATTTCAATAGTTTCATAGTTTGATCCAATACCCATGTTGTCATTGAACTGTTCATGGTATAATCAATAAATAGGAAGGCAAGAGATAGGTTAGGGTTGTTCGAGCTTGTTACCTGTACTCCTGGCGGCGTCGGCGCAAAACAGGTGCACCTCCTTAGTGTGCTCTTGCTATGTACCATCTAGGTGTTCTGACTACAAAGGTGAACAAGATAACAACCACAGAAGTAGTAGTAGCAACGACAACAGGAACAAGAAGCGATTGCAAGCGGCGAACAAAGATGGGGTCATGGAAGAAGTATGTAATGATCATAGCAATGGTGGTGGTGGAGGCAGCAATTGTACTAATGGGCCTCACACTGATCCCACTCCTCTCAAGAGTAATCTAAAGAAAACAACAACACCAACAGTGGAGGTAATTACTCAACCACCAAGAATGATAGGTACAAGGAAAGTTAATTGGCCTGATGCTCATGGCAAAGATATTGCTCATGTTCAAGAGTTTGATCCAAGGTAAAACATTAACCATCTACCCTCTACTTTTTTCTTTTTTTTTTTGCATGATGGATGTTTTACTTTTGGATGATTTGGACAATATGCTTCTACATTTTATAAAAATAAAGGAAAAAAACCCAATACTAATTTAACACTACACAAGTTTTTATGGGTTTAATTGAAGGTTTCAATTTTGCCAAAATTCTATTTAGTGTGAAGCTCTGAGTCCTGATTTACTATGTTCTCACTTTTTTTTCTTCATCAATATAGTCTTTCAGAGGACGGTGAACTTGGAGGAGTTCAGAATTCTTGTGTTTGTGCAATTCAATGAAAAATGTATCACCTTTGATTTGATTAAGTTCTTGAATTATGGATGTATACTTACATAGGCATGTTGATGTAAACACATTATTATTCAAATGTGTATTAGAAGTTTAAACTGAAATGTGCAAACAGCATTTTACACATCTTCCTGTGATGTAAAATGAATGTATTCAATAATTGAGTTTGTAAGCTTTGTTAGTTTGCATAGCACTGATCAATTGAAATATAGCTTTGAAAGATGGGTATCAAAGGGAATGGAGAAGAGTTCGATTTTCTGTGTTCTCCCCTATTGTTGGGATTGGATGTAGTTGTTCTTGTGATGGTTGTTAGGCTTAGTAATTGTTGACTTTGCAGTTATTGTTAGACTTTAATTGTCCAATTTGATATAAAGTTTCTTATATTTGTAATTATTCTCTTATTCATTGACAAAAAAAAAAAAAAAAAAAGAAAAGAAAAAAAAGGAAAGAAAGAAAAAAGGCACATAATACAAGATATATGCTGTATTAATTTCTTTTAAGAGCTACTCTAAAACAGTAATGGCACTTTATTCATAATTTTTTTTAAAAAAAAAAAAAAAAAACCTTTTATGTAATTTGTGTTCATGATGATAGGATTCATAATTGGTAAGGGAGCACATAAAGTGCTTCCTACCCCACAATTATTCACTAAGAAACATGCTCATAGCTTAAGTCCCACCTCTGTAATATTAGCACTACACCATGTCAAAACCTCACTAATCTAATACAATTAGTAAAATAATAAAATAAAAAAAAGGCAACTGTATGTACCAACACTCTTGTTAAAGCAAGATCTGAGGAGAGAAAGATGTATGCAACATTACTCTCATTTTTAGAGAGGTGGTTTCTGTGACTTTAGATAAAAAGTATTTTCTTTCTTGAAATTAGTTTTGAAAAGCAGCAAGTTTCTTTTCTCAGATTTAAACGTTGCATCCCTCCTCCCTATTCTTTGGGATAGATACTTTGAAGCGAAGTTCCACATCATTTGGTTACAAAGTAATGTGCAGTATATAAACTTGAGGGCACTCTTACTTTAATAGCTAGCTATTGGGATTGAATTCTACCCAAGACTGTGTAGTATGGTATCATAGTCGAGAGTACAAGAAATGGGTAGGGTTGTTGCCGAGTGAACACGTTGTGCTAGGTACAAAACTAATGTGTAGTATAAATAGTCAGCTTTTGGGGTTGAGTTCTACTCAAGACCATGTAACAAATACATAATACATAAGAAAAATAATGATCAATCTTTTTGAACATCAATCCTTAATATGGGTGTGGCATTTTCAAATCAAACTGCAACAGTAAACAGCTATGATAAAAGTTTTGCTGCATATCCAGAGCCCATGAATCAACCCCATTCTGACATAATTATGTTTTGATTAATAAATTGTCACCGCATGATTAAATAATTTCAATTCATTTCATTTTGTTTGGTATGGAATGGTATGGTATGGTATGCAAAAAAACAAATCTTCATTTTACAAGCATTTTTATAGTGTAATCACTCGAAAGTGTTTTCCAATGAAGGCTTGAATCTCGGGTTATTATGTGATTTTGGTGAACTTGGTAATGATCATCCATTTTACGTGGCAAACATGTGTGTTCAAATCCTGCTTAAATATAAATCAAACTATTTTCATTACCATCTACAGAGCTATGAAATGGAGCGTTATTTAATCGTTTTTTTATGATTTTTGATTCAGTAATCTTCTAACTCAAGAAATTTGATTTATTCTTTACTTCACAGAGGTGCTTTTAAAATCCGGTTCTGCAACGTTCAATCATATATAGAAGTTAATCTCTTCACCAACATCCAGTAGGAGCTAGAATTCTGTATTCCACATGAACGACCGGATTTGCATAAACATTGTAACAATATGTTCTAGAAGGAAATTGACTCCCCAGATTTAAGTTTTCTTCTCTTTCGATTAAAGTTATGAGCACTGAGCCTTGAGAAGTCAAGAAGTAAGTTCAGAATCAAATGAATGAGTTAAAATGCTAAAGATGAATAAATAGAAAATCAAGAAGAAAACTACATGAACGTAAAAACCAAACTGGAAACAGCGTAAATTATGAGAATTGACATGAACACTAGCCTGTTTGGTTGTATTTTTCATTTTCAGTTTTCATTTTTTGAAAAATTTAGAAAACTTGTTTGGCAAACTATTTTCCAAAAGTTTTAGGGAAATCTTACTAAAACAACCCACCTTATAGAAATCATCTAGAGGTTTTTCATTTTTTAAAACTCTCTTTGCACCAAAAAAAAAGAGTAAAAACAACAACAAAACACAACCAAAGAGAAGGTTAGCAAATACATGATACAAATGAAAGGGGAATAGTGGAACAAAATAAAATAACAAAGTGATTATGATGATGACCGGAGACAAAAATGATCACCGGATTGGAGCATTTAATTCCTGATCAAACTATTACTATATGTTTCAATAATAACAAGCAACATAAAGAGGTCAACATGATAACTAAATCAGTGTAGTCTTCCCTCTGATTAAGAGGAAGTTACAAGAAGCAAATAATTGAACTATAAAAGTGACAGAACTAGGAAAACTAACCGAATGGAGCGAAGGCAACCATAAAACTGAGCCAAAAATCACATGCTGGTCTTTTGCCATGAACACTATTTTCATCAAAAAGCACTTTCACTCCTCAAAATCTCGACATGAGCCTCCACTTTCTCATTGTCCAGCAAGAGAACTGGATCTGAAGCATCCAAGTGACGAATGGGCACGAGCTGAAATGCTAAATGCAATCAGATTTAATAATAAGATGAAAACATGAGGTATTCACTAGAAAACTTGAGTTGATGTTTAAGAACTTAATTATTGTAATTAGAAAATAAGGGACCAAAGTAAAATTCAAATGAAAGTCTCTTTCATATAAAACCTGCTTGATTTAGATTGAGAGAATCGTGCGGTTTTATGAAATGGCTCAAATCCGTAGTCAATCCTATTTCTGATAGGGGCAGTTGATAATTGAATCTAATTTTTCTCATTATTTTCATATCCGTAATAGTGAGAAAAGAAGGCCCGGCTCCAAGTTGTTCAAGAATAGTGGTGTTGAGTTTAGAGATGGCAATTTAAACCCGGCCCGATGGGGACCCGACCCCCCGACCCCGATTAACACGGGATTTCCCCGAAAAATATCCTCGACGGGCTGGGGACGGTATTCAAAAAAAAATTCCCGACCATTTTCGGGTCGGGGACGGTGATAAGTTCTTCCGCCCTGGCCCCGGCCCGACCTCGGCCCCGTTCCCCGTCCCGTTTCTCCCCGCCTCCCTCTCCCTCTCTCATTTCAGATCTAATACATTTCAGATCTAATATATTATACTCATCTAATATAATATAATATTATATCTAAAAATTATAATATATACTCATCTGTCTCTCTTATTTCAGATCTCATCTAACCATCCCAAAACCAAAACACACCTCTCATCTCTCTCATTTCAGATCTCTCTCTCTCTCTCATCTCAGATCCTCTCTTTCTCCGCCCCTCTGTCTCTCGTCTCTCCGCTGCCATGGTCGCACTCCGCCGCTTGCTCTCAAGCTCGTTGCACCAGAGCTTTGATAGCTCCGCCGCTCGTCGCTCCACTGCAACCAAAGTCTCCGTCTCTCCGTCGCTTTGACAGCTCTACCGCCATGGTCACTCTCTCAAGCTCGCCGCCTGTCACCGATCAAAACCTCTCTTCTCTCCGTGTGTCTGTGTGTGTGATGATGATGATGATAATGACAACTCAGATCTCAGATGTGTGTGTGTGTGTGTGTGTGTGTGTGTGTGTGTGTGATGATGACGACTCACTCAGCTCTGTAACTCCGTCACTGTCGGGGATTTTACGGGGTCAAGGAAACCCGATCCCCGTTAGGGAATGGGGGTGGGGGGAGTGAGGGGTTCCCCGTCGGGGATCGGGGTCGGGGACGGAGAGGGAATCCCCGGCCGCGCCCCGTTGCCATTCCTAATTGAGTTTCACGACCCTTTGACTTAGGATTAGTCAGTTCCATTTTTCAATGGAGGCGGAGAAGGGATATAACTCAACGGTAGAGTGTCAGCTTGACGTGTTCGGAGGGAAAAGTGTAATTTACCCAAAAAAATAAACTATATAATTTCTTCAAAAAGGCAGCATTGGCAAGAACAGCCAATTCAAACCCACCATTTCACAAGGAAAAAACAAGCATTCTGACTCATTTAAGTTCTTACTTCATTACACTTACACAGACCAATTTTTTAATTGAAGTTGTTTATAGAGTCCAATCCCACCAGAGCATTATCATGTTTTCCAATTATGCAGTGAGGCAACTGCAGATCCATTTCAAGATAAAGAGGATGATGCTTCAAAGACAGAATTCAAATTTCAAGCACATCTCACAAACACTAGGCGACATTGTCAGAAGATCTACAAAAGTTAAGGGAAGCAAATGAACAATGTACAAAACCTGTCATTATATCCATGATGAATAGAAACAAAGTTAGAAGAACATATGGAAAGAAGCAAATCAAATGATGTAAATGATATAAGCATCCACAAGAAGTCCAACAATTGTTCCATATATTGGTTACAAGCATTTGCAAGAATAGCAATTTCAACTTTTTATACCCCCCACAATGATTTACCAGATTTTCACCCTACAAAAGGATCACCACTTCTGAATAGAAGTATATGGCCCCCCCTATTTTTTGTTCTTACACTATTGCAGATTAGTAGATTAATGAAACCGGTATAGCCTCTCTTGGTACCTATCCAGTACCTCTAGCGAGATAAATTTTCTTCCTAAAGATACATCTCAATCCGATCCTATACTACTGATTCTGACTTCGTCCTTTCTTTGATTTGTTCTTCTCCTGCATTTTCTTCTTCTTTTCTTCAGCTGTAACCCATGTGTACCCAGGAGGAATTGCAAATGGGTCTGGAATATTTTCTATCTTACTGCTTGAAGAAATGGAGGAAGAACTTGGCCTTTGGTATGGAGTTTTTATCCACTGAAACCATGACGAACTCAACGACTGCAACATCGCTGGGCTCTCTCGGCCTACAGAACTTGGACTTGAAGGAGGGGTTGCAAACTCATCCAGTGGCTGCAATTCTTCAAACTTTGTAAATGTGACCAATACTCTGATCGTGGGAACCACCGGGATAGCAACCTGAAAAACAACACAGGACTTTTTAACAAAGGGGGAAAAATAAGTTACAAAGCAACATGAAGCTACTTCTAAGAAAAAAAAATTAAATAAAATACAAGAGAAACGGGAGAACAAGGAATCCTCCAAAAAAGAAAAATCAAAAACCTTGAAAATCAAAATCTCACACTACAAATTACACACTGCCTTCATATCTCTAGAAAGAGAAAAAAAAAAAACAGAAGCGGAATTCCACTGAAGGGAGTGGAGACGGAAACCCATAAAGATGTCAGGTAACAAACATTATCCCATAATGAGTTCACCTCTTCAAACAAATCCTCAAAGATCCTCCTAGCATTATGCTCCAACCAAATAATCCAAAAAATAGCATAAAAACACAATCCCACAAGAATAATGCTTTATCATTGATCCCAAAACCCCAGAAATCAATTGAAGGGAAAAAAAATAAAAATAAAAATAAAAAAAATTCCTGCATGCCATATACGAGCAATAACCTTCAAGTGTCTGTTGTGACGATTTTGAAAATATCATGCAGTCAAAATAGAACTATAGTGAAATATGCAAAAAAATATTTGGGTTAGCAGAGCTGGTTCCCAGGGTCCTTCCTACCACTTTGTTACGCTGAAAAAACTACCACCAGGTTAACAGTTTTTTTGATATCCAAAGCAACTTCCATTCTCTTTAAACCCAATAGTATAAAGCAAGTGGATCAAACATGCAATGGTACAATCCAGCAACAAACTCAGAAGTCCCAAGGTAAGTCAATTGGGATACAGAGACTAGCAACCACTTTTCGTAGGACTGGAAGGCCCTATAAACAGGCAAAGAGCTTGGGATACAGAAACTGTTAACCATTTTTCTTAGGGCTGAGAGACCCTATAAGCTGAGGAAGAGAGTGGTAATTAGAATTGGTTGCCCTATAAACTGAGCACAAAGAAAGTGAGTAGTAGTAGTTGTTTGTAGCAAGTAACTGATGTTATTACCAGTTCAGCTAAAATATCCGCAACACAATTTTGACCACCACTCACTCACCTTCTATTGTATTGAGAATTTCTGGGATGGCAATTGATTTTTGAAAATTCAAAAAAGATATCAAACAAGCTTGAGTAGTTCATCCAGGACAGAAAAATATTGCAAGGACTTTGTAATTTACAAACTTACCTCATACCAACATATCGTTTCCTTTGTCAATTACCATTCCCAAAATGTTGCTCAGCTTAATAGTAGAACTATTTAGGTTTGGTTTAACTTTCCATAAGAAAATATAAATCAAATAACATACAAATTTTAAGATATGATAACTGAAAATGGATGTGCTTCTGATCCTTTTGGTTCTTACTTGAAAAACAGTATATTTATATTCAACCTTGAATTTTGATTTCCACAATATACTAAAATTGTCAAGACGAAAATTAACTTTTAGGTTTCCTTAGATTTTGTACGGTAAAGGAACAAAATCGGAGCAATGCTTTTCTTATGCTTATCACTCTATTGAGCAGATATCACTGAATGGTCATTACTCATCTCCTTTTCTATATTATTTCTCCATAATTGTGCTGTTTCCTTGCCCCCTAGTGCATTAAGCTATATATGTTGCAAGCAATTGTTTAACAAAATTTAAAAATGAATGGTAAACTAATTGAACAAAAAATGGTTGTTACTGCAATTGATATATTATAGTATCATAATGATAATTAGCAGATCACAATAACAATAGAAGATGCTTTCATAACAGCAAATAATCCTAATAGCCTGGATTTTACAAGTTCAATCATCAGTGCTACAATTTCTGCATTCCACGTTTTGAGCAAGTGAAAAGGCATGTAACTAAAATATAATTATCTTTTCAGCTCATTTCTTTCATACAACAACCAGTAAACTTATCGATAAGAAAGTCAAGGCAGAAAGATCATAATACATACACTGGCTATAGACCGATCCTATCATCATCCCGAGATTCACCTTGTTTGGTTTCAGAATTTTGAAATCACTTTTTAGAAAATTGAGTTTTTTTTCTTTTCTGTGTTTTTTTGTTTTCACTGATTTTTTTTAAATATTTATGCAAAGTTTTTAATTTTTAGATACACCTAACATAAATATACTTAAAAAGTATAATATTTGTGAAAAAAATCTTTCAAAAATTCACTTAATACCAAAAATACAAAAATTCGGTACATTTTCGTATTCATGTATATTTATTGCCTTTTTTTAAACATTTTTTTTTACCAATATTTCACTTTTTAGGAACATCTAGGTTAGGTGCATCTAAAATGTAAAAAAATTGCTTAAAATATTAAAAATAAAATCACTAAAAACAAAAAACTCAATTTTTAGAAAATTCGAGTTCAAAAATTGAAACCAGACAAGGTGAACTTTCAATATTATAAGCTGCGAAAATGCACATGATGTAATAAAACATAACCCTACAAGTAACTCTTGCTTAGCATTTGACTACCACTTAACCTCTTTAAATTGAGTACACCATGTGATATGCATATTCATATATATATAATAAGTAAACCTCTATGAATTATGAGTGTCTCTTGTCACAGTTTGCATGTATCCGTGTCAACACATTGATACTAATATAGTGTTGCAATCTTTTTTGATAGGACACGATGCTGAAAATTAGAATAAAACTTCCTTTTCATTTTCCTTTTACGAGAGAGGGGGGTAAACTTCTATGAATTATGAGTCTCGTCACAGTTTTCATGTATACATGTCAACACGTAGATACTAATATAGTGTTGCGAATAGGACACTATAGTGATTCTGATTTGAACCCGACCCATTTAATATTTTAGATCCAGGTTTATTGTTGTATATGGACAATCTGGTCTTGTATCCCCTTATTTCTCTTTGAGTTTGGCTTTTGAGTTATGTTGGTTGTGTTTGGAATAGGTTAATAGCTTGTTTTTCAAACGGTTGTTGCCCAGATTTTTGTTCCTTTACTTGAGTGACACTTCTTGTGCTCGAGCGATCTATATGAACCTCCAGTACTTTTGTAGGTCTGTAAAACTACTGAGAGTTTGCATTCTTTACTCGAGCGAAGCTTCTTGCGCTCAAGCGACGGTCTTCTATTTGTAAAACTACTAGGAGTTCGTATTCTGTGCTCGAGCGGTGCAACTTATTGTGTTTGATCGCTGGAGCGACACATCTTGCGCTTGAGCGAACTATGTGTATATCAATTCGTAAAAATATTTTTTTGAGTCACTTTTTCACACCTCTCTTTCTCTAAACATTTCAAAACCCTAATATCTCTCACTTTCTCGCTAAAACTCATCTATTTCCCTTGAATACACCTAGATCCGTCGATCTTTTCACCTGTGTGCCTTTGTTAAAATGGTAGAGCTCGACGAGGGCTTCATTCTAAATGGAGCAAAGTTGGTTTTTGGCATCTTTGAGTCTCCATCCCTCCTCCAATCATCTTCTAAGCTTGAGGTAGGGATACTTTCCACACTTTTTATGAGTTGCAACTTAGTTATTTGTTATTTCTAAACAATATTGAGATTTTGGAAAATTTGGAACAACCTAGGATTTTGGATAAAAATCAAAAGAGGGGTTTTTCAAATAAGTCCTTGAAGATGATTTTGGTATGGAAGAAAATGTTGATTTGGGAACAAATAGTTGATTTTGGTATTTGGAATGGATTTTGGAAAGAAAAGAAATTTTGCCCTAAATGCCTCAAATGTTGATTTTTTTATAAATTATGATATTGATATTGGAATTGTGAAATTGGGTTGATGTTGATGGGGATGGTGGAGTTAGATATGTATTATCACCTACCTCTTGAAAATTTGGAGAATTTATCTTTATTGATAATTGTTTATCTGTTTTGGGCTATCAGTGGAAGATATCTATGAGTGTTGTAGAAATTGCATATGAATTAGGAGAATTGAAACTATTTTTCTCATTCATTTGCATTGAACATTATCTCACTTATACATTGGAAATGTTACTGCTTTTGAGAAAATGGGTGAATCTAGTGCTTGTCTGATCCCGCAGACAAAATTTTCATAAAATGGCAATAGTAGTGCTTGTATAGCCTATGTTTACATAAGTCCCAGTTTACGGTTTTCTCCGGACGAAATTTCCGGTAAAGGTTGTATTGTTTTGAAATTCCCATAGTGTAATTCACTACCCTATTTTCTATTGTAAGGAAATGATTCATGATAATAACTTGGCATTGCATAGTTTTGGAAAGAAATATAAAATGTTATGGTACAAGCATTGCATATGCATTCACCTTATAACTTTGTTAAGATTCATATACTGTGTTGAATTATTTCTACATGATTTTGGCTCACCCTATGTGGGAAAAACATTCATTTCAGGTGCTGATGATATGCTTCCACCAAGACAATAGCTTGGGAGAGCTTCTTTTGTGTATTTATTGTATTTATTTTTGTACAAGCCAAGGGTTTTAACTGTATTAGACTTGAGCCTATTTTTGTTGTAACCAAGCATTGTCTTGAAAAGATGTAAGCCTTTAGGACAATTCTTATTTGTCTAACTTTTATCTTATCTTACTATTATATAATTCTTTTGTAAAGCTTAATTATAAATTAATGAAAGATAACTTCTTTATCATTATGAGCACTTCTTGATATTGAGTATGGGTTATAGTAATAATTTCGGAGCGTTATAGACACGATGTTGAAACTTAGAATAAAACTTCCTTTTCATTTTCTTTTAACAAGTATACAAACAAACTCGTGCCGCAACTGGGACTTGAGCCATACCTCCGTTTAAGAACCAGACGGCAATTCAAGCTAAAAGATGGTGGTACACAAGGAAAAATATCATGGCAATTCCAAACCATATATGTTAAGCAAACTTTGAGCCCAAACCATATTACGTTAAGCAACCTTTGAACCCAGACCATAGACATGCTGAGTGAATCTGTCAAGTAAATAGCGCCATCCCCTCTCCAACACTGCCACCAACACCACACAGCAACGACAATGCCAGTCGAGAGGCAGATCGCATGCCTCAACCTCCAGTCATTTCTGTCCCACCATGTCCAGAACTCCGCAGGATTTCTAAACCCACCCTTCTCCCCTCTCCCTCTTCAAAACCCCTACTCCCTAACAGAAGCCATCTGCAGCCATTGAGTTCTGTCGCTGCTGCCTCCAACCGAGAGTTTGGTTTCTTCATGCTGACTTTGGTTTATTAACAAAGACATCGAATATTTCTCCTTAAACCTCCCCCTTTTCTCGTCTACAATGATTAGCACAACCTCTGGGAGGGTATTTGCATGTTCTCAATTCTACATTGTGCTTTGATTTTAGTAATTGACCGCATTTAAACAATGCATACTAGGTGTTTGAAGTGAAGAGGCCAATGCCAAACCATAGTTCAAGGGGGTAAAGTATCAGTTGCCCAAAAAATAAAAAAATAAAATATAGGAATGAATTCTGAAGTGAAGACTAAACTATAGTATAGCGACTGGAATAAAAAAGCTAAAAGTCTGACTTTTAAAGTAGTGCTGGTATTAACTTGAATAGCTAAAGAACAGTCTAAATACATAGCATACGATTGATGGAAGATGTTATAGATCAATCAGGAACTCAATACAGATTTTGTATCATTTTGATTTGTAATCTAAAGAAAGTTATGCAAAGACTTTTAAAATAGTGCCTAAAACTTCTGCAAAAGAATCAAAGTGTAATTCATCTTAGCTTCAATATGGAACCAAGAGTTCATACCTCTCCCTTAATGTTACACTCAAATTTAGGGAAAAGAAAAAGAATCGAAGTGGAAATTCAATAGAAACTCATATTTGATTTAGTAATTGAAAAAAATATCACTTTAATAATATTTGTTGAAATTTTTTGAACACAAAGTTGTGCAAGCTAAATTCATTAAGTTATCACTTAATTAAATGAAAGCCTCAATGGGGTGGTTGGTATACAACTAATGTTTCCAAATTATTAGCGTAGTTAAATTCACGGATCACTCTTATATGTGTAATGCACATGAATCCAGACGCAAGCATCTATTTACACCACAATTTTTTTTTCAAGCGATCTAATGGTTCCTTTAAAAAAATGAAGTAAAGGGCCAGCAAGTAATATTGTCAGTTGTATGATCCTTTTGTTGTAGCTCTTATATCTTTAGTTCTCTCCTAGACGGATTTCTGATTATCTTTTCCATGTTTCAGATTTCTCTGCTTTTCTATCTATTTTTTTTTTTGATATCTGAGTGTCCTGCTTTTCTATCTATCTACACACACATACTTACATAAACATAAAACCTTCACTACCTTGGGGCACTTGTAGCCATGACCATGGTCACTCTCAGGTGTAAACTAGCACTACGATCATAACATGAGTCCACCATTTCCCTTAACCTACAGGTACTGAGGTAGGCTCCGCCCCATACACAGTCCCAAACTTCTTATATAGTAAACACCCATGTATACATGCATGCACTGATTAGGTATATGTGTGTGTACATAAATTTAACAAATTATTATATTAATCAGAAAATAATGATTTTGATGCAGAATTGATTGGAAATGCCCATAGGAAGAATAAATCCATGTCCTGAATCTGAGAAGCAAGGTAACGGCATGAGGGTGTGCAAGAACAACTGCATGTACTTGTGCAAGTATGTTTATGTGCAACAGTGCCAGAGTGAGAAAAAAAACAACGCCCAATTAATACACATTAATTTGTGTTTGGGAGGGGAAAGATTGAGTACACATCTAACATTTGGCATCAAGGGTGAGAGAAACGAGAAAAAGTTCATCAAAGCCTTCTAACTCTTCAATTTTTTCATCATATAAAGGAAGCTTCCTATATTGCAACTATCAAGTGACGATCAAGTTTCCATCTCTAATTTTTATACGTCTATAGTTTGTGTACTCTAAAGAAAGTAAGATCTGATTTTGAGTAGTAGATAGTGTCACTGGCAGCATTTCTGTCAAGGTTTTGACTTGTAGCACTGTAGACCAGAAGTCAATGCTTATTTCTTGTTCAAAGGTTTAGTTACCTACCAAAACATTTATAAACTCTCTCATTCTATTTTCTGGAATTTTAACTGGACTGTATCTCTAATACACCTCAAAACGGCAACCACACTCCCTACAAAATCCTCTAAAAAGGCAAGATCCAACCACCGTAAACAAATCATGAAGACATATACAAAGTAAGGAAAGCAGCTTATCATGTAGTTGTAAAACATCTTTGCAAAGCATAGAATTAAGCCAAGAGAACTTAAAGAAATTAAACATGCATAGCGATAATACTAAATGACCATATAATCAATTTAAACTATAAAAATTACTTATGCAACACACCTTGACTGGAAAGGTACCCATAGGAAGTTTTGTTGTAAGTAGTTCCCGTAAGCGACGAATGGCTTTAACTTTGCTTGCTAGAATATCAAGCAATGGAAGGAGTTCTTCAGTTCGCAAAGGGAAATCTGGGGAAAGCCAGAGGACAGGCCTTAAGCCTTTCTTATACTCATTTTCACGGTTTCCTTCCTTGCGTCGAGTTCCACTCTCAGTACTCATGGATGAGGACGCTTTGGCATCCCTTCCTCCAGGTTGTTCATCCCCCCTCACAGCAATCTCCATGGAATGCCTCCCCGGTTTGATCTGACTTTGTGATGGAGAATCCCCAAGGAGATCACTAACCTTCTCTTCTACACAAAGTGAACTTCTTGGTGCTGTATTCAACTTCTGCCCTTCATGCTTAGTATCACGTTTTCTCCAGCCACCAAACCATCCTTTCTTTTCCTGCTTAGTCTCTCCATTTCTACAACTACCCATGTCCTCAATGGGAATCTCTCTTTGCACATAACAACTCTCTCCATTTCTAGAACTACCCATGTCCTCAGTAGGTGTCTCCCTTTGGTCGTAACAACTATGGCGGTGTTCAATAATCACATCACCATTCTCATTGCTTAAATTTGAAGAATTGAACTTGAGTGCAACTTCAAGTTGCTTTCTTTCCTCCTCTGAAAGAAGATTATCAAGGCCATCACTTTCTGTGTCATTTTCATTGGAAGATGAGAATAACTCATCATCTGTCATAGCCCCTGGGACCCTTCTGGATTTGATGCTCACAACCACATTGTGCATATCGTATACTTTAGCCTTCCAAGGACCCACCATTTCTGTTTTCTCCTGTCGTCTCCATGTCAGCTGTGGCAAAAGAACCGCTTCAGTTACATCAATCCCAGGCCTAATTATATTAGTCTGAGACATCGCTGCAACTTCTTGCTGCACCTCTGCCTCGCTCGCTGGAGCACCAGCACCATCCAGAGTGTTCATCACTTCCTTATCTTTGTGCGAGATCATGCAAAGTGAACCAGCATGAACCTTCCCATCCTCGGACCCATCACCAAGAAAAAGAACGGTCTGATCAGAGCGCTGTATTCTGAACCCATCAAAACCAGCCAAAGTCATATCCGCCCTCAAATTGGCACCTCTTTTCCAAATTTTATAAGTATCAGAAGGTGCAATCCTCGATATGAAAGGAATAACAGAGCTCTCAAAATTGAATGTAATTTCCATGTAGAAATCTCTCATTCTCTTCATTGTTTCAATCAACCGTGGCAACCTTCTACACCATTTCGCCCAAGCCAATGGCTGGTAATGCCTAACTATAACTCTGGCAATCCCTTCCTCTCTATTACATATTGCTTCCTGGAGTGCACTCCAACCCTGCTCATTTTGCAAGCTCCAATCTGCACCAGCAATCATAAGCATCTCGGTTGAAGTCTCGTCACCGAGTTTGACAGCCAAGTGAAGGGGGGTGTCCCGGTTAGGGACATCCCGCCTATCAACCACAGCAGAGATGGCATCAGCCTTCTGTTCCTCAGCCAGTGAAGCCGACTCAGAGCGAATTTCAGCTGGGTCACAGAACCGAGGGAGGCCCGAAAGTATCTTCCTCAGACAAGCATAGTCTTTCATGGCTACAGCTCTGTGCACGGGACTATGGACATACTTGGACACATCAATGCTTGCCATACCTCAGGAGTATGCAAGGCCAATCCAAAACCAGTACACACAATCAAAACTCAATTCAAATCATCCAAAAGTAAAACTACCAGAGACCAAACAAGTAAACCCTAATTCCAAATCAATAGAGTATGATGAATGAACACTGCCAAGAATTCAAATCCCAATAAGACCAATTAGTAGATTTCAACCAACACCAACTTCTAATTCAATTTACCAAAACAACCAGACCCAATTCACAATTTGTCAAGAAATCTCACCTCTTCTTTTTCTCCTTTCTTTTGCTCCTGTGAAACCTTCCCTCAAAGAGGACCAAGATTGCTGCCAAAAAGGACTGAGTCAGAGAACCCCACCACCTCTGCAAATAGAAAAAAGAACAAATAGATTCTTGTGATCCGATCCAGATCAGACAAAACCAAGAACATGTATGTGGGGGTTCAAAAATATATTTTATATAAAAAAGAAAAGAAAAGAAATGAAATGAAATGAAAAGAAAAGGAGATTGAAAAGTTACAGAATCAAATGAAAGAAAAGAAATAAACAAAGAAAAAGCATACAGGAAAACCCAGCAGCCAAGAAAACCGCAAATTTGTCTATGTTAAAAAGGAATAACACAAAAGTAGAATCACATGATAAAGGAACTCAAGACAACTCAACAAGTATTCATAGTTCTAAAGAGAGAGAGAGAGAGATTACCCAGTTCTAGAGTGCAAAAGGAAGAGAGAGAGAGAAAATAATGGGAAGGGTTAATTTGAGAGTAAGGTTGAAGTTGAAGGAAGAAGAGTAGAGGTTCCATTTTACCTTTTTCTAACACAACACACAAAGTTGGAATTGTTGAATGAGAAGGAGTGTGGAGAGAGAAAGGAGGAGGTTTTTAGAGAGAGAAAGAGAGAGGGGAATGGCTGCATGTGAGCCTGGAAAGTGGGAACCTGCCTTCCTATATTCCCATTTTTTTTTTATTTTAATGATTTTTAATTATATTTAATTAGAAAATTTTTTATACTAAGGTTAAGTTTGGGATCTATTAAATAATACAAAAAGTCAAAAAGTCATTATTCTATTTAAGTCACATCATCTTATTTAAATCACATCATCTCTCTAACACATCACATCAAACCCAATCCAAACCCAACTTATATAAGTTAATAAGTCAAAAAGTACACTTTTTTAGAACATGCCAAACCAACCTTAAGTAGGAATTTTTGTTTGAATGAGAACTAGGAGGGGTCACGTGATCTATCGATCCAAATCCATTTAGTTATGCTAAGCTAAGTAGTAGCGTAGGGTCAGCTAGCAGGCTGTCAGAAATATTCGGGTAAGTTCTGACCCGACCCATAAGATCATTTGTAAGGGAGAAATTATTCGGTACTCGAACATTGTCAGATAATAACATTAAAGTTTCATTTGATGACTTTTAATTTTAGTTAAAAAATATTATAAATTGTCACATTATTTATTTTTATTTTTTTACATGTCTTTTTATAAAAAATTAAAAAATTATTAAAATAACATATTCTTATATGAGGCCTAAAAATAAGACTGCGTTTTTCTCCGATTCTTAATCGAATTCAAGAGATGTTGTCAGACCTATTGGGTCCACTTTTGGGTTTCAATTCTATAATATGAATCATTTACATTTTAGGATTCAACATATATATAATCCTTGTAAAAAATTAAGTCGGTCGGATAAAGGCAACCATATGTTCGAATCAATTTTGTATGAACCGTTTATTTTGTATGAACCATATTCAGATCAATTTTAGTCTTTTTTTTTTAATGAAAAAAAATGAACGGTGAGAAATTAAACAATTCATACAAAACAAATCTAATCACGTACTTTCCGTTATCTGATTCACTTGATTTTTTACAAGGATAATATATTTTACGCATCCTAAAATGTGATGATTTGAATAATTGAAACAGGATCCGAAAGTAGGTCCAATAGGCCCAACAACATATTTCTAGTCTAATTAAGGACTAGAGAAAATTTTATTCTTTAAAAATATATTGATGGAATGGGTTGGGGTTGCGGTGGCAATCAACTCGTTGCCCTCTCCAGTTTAGCTCGATATTTTTATGGTATGAAAAAATTATTTTGTGCATAGGGCCGAGTTGGGTTGAGATTTTGTATCTATTTAATATTCAAACTTGATTTGAGATAAAGAGCTATAGTTTAACCCTGTCTAGCTCTGTGGTCTATTTATAAAATATTAATTATAATTTTATATCATTTTAATTATAAAATAAAGTTAAAAAAATGAAAGACAAAATATATATAGTTTTTTTTAATGTTTAAATTAAAACATTTGTTAAAAATTATATTTATTTTACAACTAAATAATAAATGAATAATTTAATATTCAGTCTAGATGAAATTTTTAAAAAAAAAATAATAGTTCATATTTAGTGGGTTAAGTGAGTGAACTTGAGATTTTAATTTTTTTTTTAAGACTGGCCTTGGGATGATTATATTAGACCCGATGTCAAGCCGGGTCAAACTTTGGATAACACATATTCTTTTATTATATAGTGTAAGCCCAATCTAGCCCGGCCCAAGGTTTGTCCATCTTTACTGGGGACACATGACTTTGGGTTGGGATATGAGAAAATAACATGTAACATGACATTTTTAGTGATTGGTGAGAGTACAGGCACATGGTGTCCTGGGCCACAACCATTATATTTGGTTCTGAATTTTGAAATACAAATTTTGAATTTATTTATTTATTTTTCATATATATATTTTTTATTTTAAGTGAATTTTTGAAATATTTTAATCATTTCTTTTTTACTTTTGGAATCCACATAATCTGAAAACACTTAAAAATAAAATACTAATGTAAAAAATCTTTAAGAAATTCACGATATATAAAAAAATATTTTTAAAGAAATTACAAAACTTTAGTACATTTTATTTATTTTATTGTATTTATTGATTTTTTATTTTAATGTCTTAACAAATAGTTAACCTTTTGAAGTATATCAAGACTAAGTGCATCTAATTTTTTTTTTTTTAAAATAATAAAATACTAAAAATTGAAAAGATTAAAAATAAAAAATAAAAAATAAAAAACTTAAAAACTCAAAAATTATATTCAAAAATTCAAATCCAAGCAGAATGATGTGTTTGCCAGAAAAAAAAAAAACTAGTTTTTCTGTCTAATGTGCTAACTTCTGTATTAGTATCATAAATTAACTTGTTCACTAATTATAGAGTTTCTAAATAAAGTAAGGCGCGAGGAAAGGGTTAACTTGGCTTAACCTGAGAGGGGTGCCCTCTGGGGGTTTCACTCTAAAGAAGCAAAGCTCTCAAAAGTCATCCTAAAGTGGTGCTAGATAGTACAACCATTTAACTATGTAGTGGTGAGTCGCGAACTCGCATACTGGTGAAGATTTGAACCTACACTCTTGACATTAGGTATAATTCATTTAGGATTGAAAAGTTTGTTATACCAATCATATCTGTTGTAGCTCAAGTAAATTAGTTTCAAAAAGGCTTAACTTGTATCGACGGTTAAAAGATGGAAGAAAGAGGGGAAAAAAAAAGTTTTCATTTTTTCATAAATTTTTATATTCACTACAAACGTATTTCAGCTACATTATTAGAGTATTCATTCACTCTTTAAACTAATGATTAGGGATGTAACCAGTTTTGTGCAGTCGATATTTAGATAAAAATAATCACCAAATCGATAATGTCGGTCCCATCAAACCGCACCGAACCGAATCGATTAAAACGATTCGATTTAATACGGTTTAATCGGTTTAGGACCTTTTAAATGTAAGCCACTTTTTAGTATGGTTATTAATCTATAAAAAAACATTGAATTAGTTATTTGTCCACCACTTTAAACATATCCAATCTATCTATTTAATGATTTAGTTATCTTGGTTCTGACATAAGAAGCTTTTAAAATTTTAAAATGTGAAGTTATTAGATTGACAAACAACTTAAAACTCAAATATATAAATCTTTTTATATACTTGTGCCTATTGTAATAAACTGGCCCATTCATTCTCACATAAAGAAAGTGAGAGTACAAGTAAAACCTGAAGTGTCTATTCAGTCTATTGATATAAGTTGAACATAAATAACACGTGCAACCTCCTATACATTCTTGTACAGTTAAAAGATTCTTGTGATTATATTATTTTTCTAAATGAGCAATATCAAGAGATTGAAGAGATAATTGTTACGTCTGACGAAGATATTGGTGATTTGTAATATGGTAAATGAATTTATACAAATTATTAATTAGATGTGAGATCATGTTATGCTTTTTAAAAGTTTGAAATCTAGCAAGTATTTTTAAAGATATATAAATAAATACAAAACTATTGCAAGAGGCTGTGATTTGAAAATGGTATTGTCCTTACCAATGTCGTAAAGATAGTGTGTGAGTGATTTTCTGACCATACTGCCAACTCAGTACTCAGCTGGAAAACACTGGCAGAATAGACGGCACCTGTAAAACCTGCAACAGAAGGAGAAGACTCTGGCGGTGGTTCTTCCACCCGGGGGCACTCCGACGATCAAGTCAATATATCTCTCAAAGATAATTCAAGTGCTTAATCACTGTTCTCAATATAAATTGCGTACCTTAGACCTATGGGGGTGCTTTTCTTTTATAGTTAACTCAATCCTAGTCCCAATAGAAGCCTGACTTCTATGGACTCTCATTCAGTACTTGCTTTGGACTCTACAGGAGATAAGGATAGACTCCCTAAGAGGGTTATCCCTATCCATTCTGAAGTCTTTCTTCATTCTAGGACTCTTGTCCCTTATCCGCTTATCTCTGATTCCGATATCTTCGGAGATAACCTTGGCCACTCGGCATCATGACCAAGCCACGTGGCACCTCGGCTGACACGTTGGCGTCACCTTGGCCACGTGTTGGTACTCGAAAAATATATCCCAACAATTGCCCCCTAGGTTCTATTACCTCGGTATTCTGAGGTGATGGAACCTATATCTGTGTTTCCTGCCAGTATATCGGCTTGAGTTGAGTTCATCACTATAAGCCGACATGTCTTCTTAAAGATCAAGGTTTCCAAGAACTTCTTTCACACGTATGAGCTGTCACGCATAACAATTCAATCGTTTCAGCTACGTGTCTTTCTCTTACTGGATCGTACTTGTGACGCGCTTGTAAGCCGTCTCTCTCTCACGTGTGCCGTCTGATGCCTACGTTCTTCTAAGCATTTTAATGACTGTTTTGCCGGCGTTTCCGCATTTTAACAAAAATCATTTTCCCTCTTCCATCTCTTCACTTTTTTCTACCGTTTTTTGAAGTTTTCTCTCTTTCTCTCTAGCTTTCCATCTCCTCCATTGTTTCCAAGCTTTCTGAGTTCTGCAACTTGCCTTGTTTACCACCTCTGGCGTTATTTCCACCGGTCTTCCGCCTCTGCAACCATCATTAGACTTCGCAAATCTCATTCCGGCTTTCCTTTTCTTGGTAAGCTACTGTTCTTTCTGGTTCTTATTTCTTGTTACTTTTCAAGAAATTCTGCTTTATCATCAGTTGTCATTGCTATTTTACTCAAGCAATTGATTTATGAATCATGTATCTCAGTGCGTTTATTTCGTGATTTTGCTCTTGTTTATGTCTTGAATACACACACTGTTCACAACTCTTCTGCACTGTTTTTGGCCTTATAGCCTTCGTATTTGCAATGTCTCTGATAATCCTTCTCTGTTCTTGATTCTGAAACGCATTCTTGCTTTTCTGTTTTCCAGATTTTTGTGACTTCAATCTTTGTTTCCGTAGATTTAGGTTTGGGATTTACTTGTAGAACCCACAATTATTAGGAAAAACTGAAACTATCTACACAATTTTTTGCCCAGCTCATACTTTAGGTTTTTGCCGAGGTTCCTATAACCCTTTTTAAAACACCTCTCTGAAATCCATCTTCTTCTCG